TGAAAATCAGCAGAGGGAGGTATTACACTAAGGGAAAAACCAATCAAAGGAGAAAACAAGTCACGTTAAATACCAAAAATAAACAAAAATTCCTGGGAATACACATCATGTCTCAATAATAACCCTGAATGTTAATGGCCTAAACTCACCAATCACATGACATGGACTGGCAGATTGGATGAAAAAAAGACCTAACAAAATGCTGCTCTCAAGAGACTCACAGTAAAAAACATCCACAGAGTGAAGGTGAAAGGTTTGGAAAAATCAAACCACTCACATGGACTGCGGAAGCAAGCAGGGGTTTCATCCTCCTATCAAATAAAGTAGACTTCAAACCAAAGTTAATCCAAAGGACATTTCATACTGCTTAAGAGAACTATTCATCAACAAAACATAACAATTATAAATATGTATGCCCCCCCCCCAAATGGGGCATCTACATTCATCACACAAACTCTTCTCAAGTTAAAGAGTTAATAGACCACAACACAATAATTCTGAGTGACTTTAACACACCTCTTTCACCACTGGATAGATCATACAAACAAAAGCTGAACAAAGAAACTATAGAACTCAATAATACAATCAATAACTTATACTTAACTGATATCTATAGAATATTTCTTCCTTCAATGAATGAATACACTTTCTTCTCAGCAGCACATGGATCCTTCTCTAAAATAGACCACATATTATGCCACAAAGCAACTCTTAGCAAATCCAAAAAAGTAGAGATACTACCCTGCATTCTATCAGATCACAATGGAATGAAATTAGAAATCAATGATAAAGTAAAAAATAAAAGCTACTCCAACACCTGGAGACTAAATAATGTGCTACTGAATGAACAATGGGTTGCAAAAGACATCAAGGAGATTAAAAAATTCTTCGAGGTGAATGAGAACACAGAAACAACGTATCGAAATCTCTGGGTCACAATGAAGGCAGTACTAAGAGGAAAGTTCATTGCATGGAGTTCATTTCTTAAAAGAAGAAAAAGTCAACAAATAAATGACTTAACATTACATCTCAAAGCATTAGAAAAAGAAGAACAAATAATACCTAAAGCAGAAGATAGAAAATAATTAAAATCAGAGCTGAAATCAATGAAATTGAAACAGAAGAAGCAATTGAAAAAATTGCCAAAACAAAAAGTTGTTTTTTGAAAAAATAAATAAAATTGACAGACCTTTAGCCATACTAACAAAGAGAAAGAGAAAGCTCAAATTACTAACATTTGTGATGGAAAAGGAAATATCACAACAGACACTACAGAAATACAGAATATAATTAGAAATTATTTTCAAAATTTGTATTTCAAAAAAAATGAAATATATTGAAGGCATTGACATATTTCTAGAGTCATATGATTTGCACAAATGGAACAGGATGTTATACTCAATTTAAACAGATCAATTTCAAGTGATTAAATAAAAGAAGCCCTCAGAAGCCTACCAACCAAGCAAAGCCCAGAACCAGTTGGATACACAGCCAAGTTCTACAAGACCTTTGTAGAAGAACTAATACCAATACTGTTCAATTTTTTTCAGGAAATAGAAAAAGAGGAAGCATTTCCAAACTCATTCTATAAGGCTGAATCCAAAACCTGATTCCAAAACCTGATTCCAAAACCAGCCAAAAACACAGCATCAAGAAAACTTCAAAACAATATCTCTAATCAACATAGATGCAAAAATTCTCAATAGAATTCTGGCAAATTGAATACAAAAACATATCAAAATATAGTGCACCACGATCAAGTGGGGTTCATACCAGGAATGCAAGGTTGGATCAACAAACGGAATTCAGTAAATGTAATTCATCATATCAATAAACTTAAAGAGAAGAACCATATGATCATCTCAATAGATGCATAAAAAGCATTTGACAAAATACCACACCCTTCATGTTCAAAACACTAGAAAATCTAGGGATAACAGGAACATATCTCAACATTGAAAAAGCTATCTATGCTAAGCCCCAGGACAACATCATTCTAAATGCAGAAAAACTGAAAGCATTCCTTCTAAAAACTGGAACAAGACAGGCATACCACCTTTCATCACTTCTATTTTAATATAATTCTTCAAACACTGGCCAGAGCAATAAGATAGGTGAAAGAAATTAAATGGATACAGATAGGAAAAAAGAACTCAAATTAGCACTATTTGCTGATGATATGATTCTATACCTAGAAGACCCAAAAAATTTCACCAGAAAACTTCTAGAACTAGTACACGAATTCAGCAAAATAGCAGGACACAAATTGAACACCCATAAATAAAAGGCATTTCTGTACATCAATGACAAATCCTCTGAAAAGGAAATGAGGAAAACTACCCCATTTACAGTAGCCTCAAAAAATAAAATAAAATACTTGGGAATCAACATAACAAAAGATGTAAAAGGCCTCCACAGCAAAAACTGCAGAAAGCTAAAGAAAGAAATTCAAGAAGACCTTAGAAGATGGAAAGATCTTTCTTCTTCTTGGATAGGCAGAATTAATATTGCCAAAATGACCATTCTACCAAAGTATTATACAGATTTAATGAAATTCCAATCAAAATCCCAATGACATTCCTCATAGAAATAGAAAAAGCAGTCAAGAAATTCATCTGGAAAAGCAAAGACCCAGAATAGTTAAAGCAGTCCTTAGCAAGAAGAGTGAAGCCGGTGACATCACTATACCAGAACTTAAACTATACTAGAGAGCAATACTAACAAAACCAGCATGGTATTGGCACCAAAACAGACTGGTAGACCAATGGTTCAGAATAGAGGACACAGAGAATAACCCACATAAATACAGTTATCTTATATTAGACAAAGGCACCAAAAACATACATTGGAGAAAAGATAACCTCTTCAACAAATGGTGCTGGCAAAACTGGAAATCCATATGCAAAAAAAAAAATTGAACCCCTATTCCCACCATGCACAATACACAACTCAAAGTGGATCAAGGTCCTGGAATTAAACCAGAGACCCTGCGTCTAATAGAAGAAAAAGTAGGCCCACATCTCCATTATATCAGATTTAGGCCCCTCATTCCTTAATGAGACTCTTATAGCACAAGAATTAATTAAAATCAAGAATTAATAAATGGGATGGATTCAAACTAAAAAGCTTCTTCTCAGCAAAAGAAACAATCAGTGAGGTGAAGAGAGAGCCCACAGCTTGGGAGGAAATTTTTACCACTTGCACATCAGATAGAGCACTAATCTCCAGGGTATATAAAGAACTCAAAAAGCTAAATACCAAAATAACAAATAACCTAATCAATAAATGGGCCAAGGAACGGAACAGACACTTAGGTGATATACAATCAACCAACAAACATGAAAAAATGTTCAACGTATCTAGCTATTGGAGAAACGTGAATCAAAATGACTCTTAAGATTTCATCTTAATCTAGTCAGAATGGCAGCTATTAACAATGCAAACAACGATAAGTGTTGGCGAGGATGTGGGGAAAAAGGCACACTCTCACACTGCTGGTGGGACTGCAAATTGGTGCAGACAATCTGGAAAGCAGTATGGAGAGTCCTTGGCAAACTTGGAATGGAACCACCATTTGACCCACTTATCCCACTCCTTGATCTATACCCAAAGGACTTAAAAACAGCATACTACAGGGACACAGCCACATAAATGTGTATAATAGCATAGTTCACAATAGCTAAACTATGGAACCAACCTACATGCCTGTCAGTAGCTGAATGGATAAAGAAAATGTGGTATATATACACAATGGAATATTATTCAGCAATAAAAGTCAATAAAATCATGACATTTGCAGGTAAATGGATGGAGATGGAGAATATTATGCAAAGTGAAGTTAGCCAATCCCAAAAAACCAAAGGCCAAATGTTTTCTTTGATAGAAGGAGGCTGATTCATAGTGGGGTAGGGAGGGGGAGCATGGGAGGATTAGACGAACTCTAGATAGGGCAAAGGGAGGGAGGGGAAGGAAAGGGGCTAGAGGTGTAAAAAAGATGGTGGAATGAGATGGACTTCCTTATCCTAAGTACATTTATGAAGACATCAATGGTGTGAATAGACTTTGTGTACAAGCAGAGATATGAAAAATTGTGCTCTATATGTGTAATATGAATTGTAATGCATTCTGTTGTCTTATATAACAAATTAGAATTAAAAGTTAAAAAATGAAAATAAGCGATAACTATATAAAAAAAAATGTCATTGGGTTGGGCTCGGTGGCACATGCTTATAATCCCAGTAGCTCAGGATCTTGAGTTCAGGCAGGAGGATCTTGAGTTCAAAGTCAGCCTCAGCAAAAGTAAGGCACTAAGACAGTTAGTGAGACCCTGTCTCTAATTTTAAAAACATAAAATAGGGCATATGGTGTGGCTCAGAGTTCAGAGCCCTAATCACCCGTAAAAAAAGTGCTTGTATCCAGAGACCTGTAGATGTTAGCAGTGGATGTCTCTGTACAGAGGGGTGTTGTATATTATTTAATTTTAAAAACAAAATTCAGTGCATTAATTAAAATGCACTGAATAAGTGTACTCTACATTGATTAAGATATAATAGAGTAAAATGGTTTTGATGGAAAAAAGCAAAAAGCAAACAAAAAACATCCACCTTTCAATACTCCTGGGAGGGATGTAAGAACCTGACTCAGCTGCTGCCTGCTTTCAAGCTCCGGATTCAGGGGCCTGTTGGTGGGCAGGGCCCTTCTGCATGGCTCCTGGCCTGGTGGCTAAGGCTGGCAGCCTTAGTGTCAGGGACCCAGTGCTGGTAGAGGGAGCCCTCCAGCCCCACGCTGAGCCCTCCTCCCTTCCTGCAGCTGAGATGCCCCAACCTGGCTCCTGCCTCCTGGATGGAGGAGCATCAGCCCCAGAGCAGTGTCCACCCGAGTGGCCCTCCCTTCAGGGCAGCGAGCCTCTGGTGCTTTGCAGTTGTGGACAGGGGAAAGAAAGGGGGGTGGAGCTGGGCCCTGGAGAGCCCTCCCCAAGGCAAACAACCCAGAGAACCTGTGCACACACAGGGGTATAGAAGGGCCTTCCTGGTGGCGTGGCACATCCTGTGTGTGGTCCTCAAGACGCCCGCTGTCATGGAGGCCAGAGCGCTTTGGCTGCTGCTGCTGGTCCTGGCCCTGGGGTCCTCTGGCTGGGCTGAGCAGGACGTTGGCCTGTGTGAGTACCACTCTGGTCCCCGATGTCAGGGTGGGGACACAAGAGAGGGAGAGACTGGCAGGCGGGGTGCCCTTCTGTGGGCTCCAGAGTTGAGAAACCCTCATGCTTCTACTCCACGTCAACTTAGTGATCACCATTTGTCAGATTCAGACCTGTTCTTTCAGCACCCCACATAGAGGGTCTTATTGTCCCTGTGTCACACTCAGGAAACTGAAGCTCAAGAGTCAGCATCTCTAAGGCAGCCTCCCTGCGGGTCAGGCTTGAAAACTCGATTGCACCCAGGCTTGCCCTGGGGGGCAGCTGGCACCCAACTCCTGCCCCGGTGCCTTCTTCGCCAGAGGTTTCTGATCACACCATAGGACTTTGCCCAACATGCTGGCAGTTGACAAAAGAGACGAGGAAGGGACTGGTCCAGAACATGTCTCTGCCGACTGTCTTCCTGCCACCATGGCTTTGCAGCTCAGGCGGTGTTGGGGCCAAGTCTGAAGGCACGAGGGGGTGACCTCACCAGGTTTCCAGCCCAGAGCAGGCAGAGGCAGCAGCTCCCAAAGTTGGCCACCCACCAGGGTCACCTGGGGGCTGGTCAGCTCCTCCTGTAAGACCGTCTCAGGGTGGAGCCAGGCCCTGGTGGATTTCAGAGATTGCCAGGGATTGCAAAGTGCAAGGCCCCGGGAAGCACTGGAGTAGAGGCTGCGGGCTGGCCTGGGGCTTTCCCACGTGCTCCATTTCCTCAAGGAAGATTCTAGTTGTCATGGCACCAGGTGGACCTTTAGGCACATGGAGACAGCCCTGCAGGATTCCGGGCCCAGAGTGTCGGGGCCCAAGGTGCAGCCATGTCATGACAAGCAGACGCTGTGGGGTGGCGGGTGCCGAGGGGCAGCTTCAGCACCAGCACCTGGCTGACTTTCCCGAGGACAGGGCATGTCCTGCACACGGTCATTTCTAGACAAGGGGCAGGTGTTGCTGCTCAAACAAGGAGGGGAGCCTGGTCTCGGCTCTGGGGACCCGGATTCCCCCAGGGCCTGATGGAGGTACCCAGACTTCCTGACAAGGTGAAGGGAGCATGCCAATGAGAGCCACCAGGGCAACACTGGGTTACCGGGTGTGGCCTTCAACAGCCCAGGTCCTTCATTCCTGGGGAAAGCCCATGCTCCCAGGGGCAGGGAGGTGCCATCTCTGAGCTCAGGAGTGGGCTAAGGGAGGATGTGAACTTCAAACTGAGGCAAACACCAGGCCCCAAGCCCTGGGGGCTCTGGCACTGACCTGGTGTTTTTGGGCAGCGGGACAACAGTGTGTCGTCTCGGGCAGTGAGAGAGTGGACTGTGGCTATCCTGCCATCAGCCAGGAGGACTGCACCAACCGGTGCTGCTGCTTTGACTCCAGCATACGAGGGGTGCCCTGGTGCTTCAAGCCTCTGAGAAAGCCAGGTAAGTCCAGCATGGTGACCCCGGGTGCCTGTGTTCTCAGGGCCCCCATCCTTCTTCGGCCAGGTAGAGACATAAGGACCCCCTGGAAGCCGCACATGCCTGGGCCTGTTCCTGGGTCTGGGCAGGACAACCTGTATGTCACTTTCATTGTCTGTTGGTAGAGGCGTCCCATCAGGGGCCAATGTCGAGGGCAGCTGGTAGCCCCTGGCAGGTCCCATTTGTCCCCTTTCTATAAGATATGAAAGTGGTGGTGTTAAAAGATGTTCTAGGTTATATAAGGAACCAGTTTAAACTGTCCTACAGGCCTGCAGGATTCGGGACCCAGAGTGTCGGGGCCCAAGGTGCAGCCATGTCATGACAAGCAAACGCTGTGGGGTGGCGGGTGCCGAGGGGCAGCTTCAGCACCAGCACCTGGATGACTTCCCCGAGGGCAGGGCATGTCCTGCACACCGTCATTTCTAGACAAGGGGCAGGTGTTGCTGCTCAAACAAGGAGGGGAGCCTGGTCTCGGCTCTGGGGACCTGGATTCCCCCAGGGCCTGCCAGCTTGAGGTACCCAGACTTCCTGACAAGGTGAAGGGAGCATGCCAATGAGAGCCACCAGGGCAACGCTGGGTCCCTGGGTGTGGCCTTCAACAGTCCAGGTCCTTCATTCCTGGGGAAAGCCCATGCTCCCAGGGGCAGGGAGGCGCCATCTCTGAGCTCAGGAGTGGGCTAAGGGAGGATGTGAACTTCAAACTGAGGCAAACACCAGGCCCCAAGCCCTGGGGGCTCTGACACTGACCTGGTGTTGTTTGGGCAGCGGAAATCCAGTGTGTCTTCCCAGCCAAGGAGAGAGTGAACTGCGGCTACCCTGCTATCGGCAAAGAGGACTGTAATAACCGCGGCTGCTGCTTTGACTCCAGCACTGCAGGGGTGCCCTGGTGCTTCAAGCCTCTGAAAAAGCCAGGTAAGGCCAGCGTAGTGACCCTAGGTGCCTGGTGTCTCAGGGCCATCCTGTCCTTCCTGGGCCTGAGTGTAGATATGTGGACCCCTAGGAAGTCACATATATCTGTGCCTGTGCCTGGGTAGGAAAAACCAGTATTTTCACTGTCATTATCTGTTGGTGGAGTCCTCCTATCAGGGGCCTCCAAATGTTCTGGGGCAGGTCACTCAGAAAACACCAAGTCCCAGTTTTGTCCAAATTGCAGAGTCTTCATTCCGACAGGCAGGGACTGCTTCCTACGGGAACAAGTTCTCTCTTCAGAAAACAGCCTATAGCTTCAACATTTTAGGATATTTAAAGACAAAAAACCCAACAACTACATCCAGATTGATGTAGCTGATAGCAAGCAGGAAGAGAAGCTCAACTGGGCAGTTAGCAAGACAATGCAATGGGTGCCTTGGTATTTCCCATGGAACTAGCCAGGTTGGCAGAGCAGACACAAGCAGAAGGGACCTGGGTCAAAAGGACCTAATGGAGTACAAGCTAGAGAATGGTTACTAATGTCTACACAATCAATCTCTGTCAAGGTGCATTTCCCAAGAAAAATGGAAACCAAAGAGAACAATTTTATGTTGTGTAAGAATTGCTATTTTGCGTTGCCAAGTATACCATGCTGGGACTTTCCCAGGGAGAAGCATTTCTTACATGATGTGGAGTCTCAGGGTAAAATGGAGTCAGTTTGGTCATTGTCCATATAGTCTGGCCCATAACTTTCCCCACTGGTTTTATGGAACTAATCAAATCATTGTGTCATCATCATTAGTACATAGTTGATTGTAATGAGTATGGAGGACTATCAGTTTTACAGATTGTGTCTTTTGTTTTATATATTTTATCAGACAATTAAAAATGCAGGGTACAATTAGAAGTCCTCAGAGAATGTACTGGCTATAGCTGGTATAATCGTAGTTAGCCAGGAGGATCAGGAGAACAAATTTTGATACCAATTCCTTCATGTTGTCTTGTTTCTTCCCTTTTCTTTAATCATTTTCTGATCAGAGTTAGACAGTCTCTTACACTCCTGAGTGATTAGTATAGAAGCACATATCTCCCCTGATGCCATACATAGGCCTCTCTGTTTTAAGAGCCAGAGATCTAAACCTCTCCTGTTTTGTAATTACCACTCTGCCAGGGGATCTGGAGAGGTCTCCAGTCTGTTCACTGATTGCTAGTTCCCCCAAATCCAAATCTACCTGTTTTCTCAGGGCCTTGAAATTTTCATTTCCAGTTAAAAGAGCTGCTGTGCCCAGGGGTTGAAAATTCCGCAACCATTGGGCCCATTAGTAGGGGAACTAGGATGGGGCTGTTCTCCTAGGATGGGTATGAACCCCAGATGATTTTGTCTAGCTTCTCCATTGTAGTAGCACCCTTGGGGAATAATGTGAACAGTCACACAAAATTTGTCCCATCCTGATGTGCCAAAAGCTGTAGGGACACGCAGGGAGTTACTCCTGTTAGGCAGGCAGACCAAATACCTTCTGGAGCCACGTGAGAATTAGAAGACTCCTGGGGTGTATTAACACCTTGGTGGAAAGACAGGAATGTTCGTGATTGGGGAGTTATGTATTTGGAAACCTGGGGGAGGGAAGCATAAGCCTCATTCTTATAAGTTTCCTAATGTTGGATTCCACCTTTTGTAGTCCAAAACTATATTAATTATAAGTCGCCATTGTGATGATTTTCTGAGCCAGAGAAAAACATGATTAACATTTTTTTGGACCTAAACTAGCCTCCATTTTGTGATTTAACTAATTATTTATCTATACTAACCATAATTTTCCCCTTTAACATTCGGGACTTCCTACTGCTGTAAGGAAAAAGGACGATGATTGCTCTTGCTGCTTTGAGCTGAGAGGAGGCGATGTGCAGTGGGGCAAGCAGTTTGGAGTCCAGTTTTTAGAAACTGGATGGGTTGAGGGGTCCATGGTAAAAATCTTGTTCAGGAAGAACAGGTTGTAAATTCACCTGGGGGTGGACACTTCTATGAGAGGGAAAAAAAGACACTAGTGCTGAAATAAGATTCATATGAAATAGCAATTGTAGCTTCTGGAACCTGTCCGGGAATATCATGAAAATGATAGAAGTTAATAATTGTTTACCAGGAGGTGAAAGAGCTGAGAAATTGTCCCCATAGCAAGGCCTAACAAAGCCTAATAAGGCCCCTTTTTGGGGAATGTAAATCTTTAACATTGTCAGAGTTATCAGGAATGTAGAGACAACACTTAGTTAATGTTAGTTAATGTCATCTGATTTTTGTAAAATATCTTTATTGGCATGACCTCTGTGTTCAGTAGAGATCCCTTTATCTTTGTTACTTAGGGCTAGATAATTATACTAGCAGACATTGATCGTGTCTACATGTGTAGGAGCTTAGGAAGATCTGTAGGCCTTAAACTGACTAAAAACTTGTGGCTCTGGAAGTTTCTATTGGAAGTTATCAGGGATTCCTGCCTAAGAATCTCTCTTCTGTTGCCTCCAGCTTTGCTTCTTCTTGGGGGGCTGGGCAGGGGAGCGTGGTTAACACCAGTATACATCTTAAGTTATATTCACATAACTGTTGTTTCTTTCTTTCTTTAAATGCCCAGGAATGGCTGTGACTTGGGTTTAACTGTTCTTGCTAGGTGCCTAAGATCAAGCTGGTCAAACCAACCTTCTCCTATCCATTGTTAAGAGTCAGCTGAGTTTCCTTGGGGGATACTCTTGGGGAACTCATGAGCAGCCTTTTAGTTCTGCTAGTGCCATCTGTGTTAGGATGGATCAAGGTCTTGCTGACCATGTGGCTTCCCTTGGGAGCAGCAGGGATGAGCTTCCAATGACCCTCCTCTTTTGCAGCATGAGTACTGATTGGCTTTCCATTCTCCAGTGGTCTCATTAATCTCCTTGATTGGGAGGTTATGTGGCCCAGAGTTGCAAAGCTCTTCCCCTTTTTCCTGGGTTCAGGCTGACTCAGCGGGCAGGAGCCAAATACTGGTTTTCTTGGCCTCTTTATTTTAACCAAAATCTTTAAGTCTTGGGCTTAAACGCCCAGCAAGTCAGTCTTATCAGTCTTAAACTAAGAGGACTGGGCTTTAACTTTAATGTTTATCGCTTTACAGTTAATGTTATCCCCTTTAATTATTATCTGTCTTTAGATGATGGCTTAATATCTTGAATTAATTTAGGTTGTGTGTTCTTGAAGCACTACCTCTGCAAAACATTAATAGGCAACACTTATGAGAAAAATACAAAGTGAAATTAACAAGAGTAAAAACATATTTGCTTTGTGTAATAGCTATCTTGAATTTGGTTGAGTTATACATTATATCCCCTGTTTGAGATCACAGTAATATTTAAAATAAAATCAATCTTTTGAATATAACTTTACATGAATTGAAGTCTGGCCTACTTTGAAGTCATTTTGACATGCTGTAAGGTGGGAGGCAGAGCCTTATCTCAGGTAAGGTGGGACTCTGCACAAATCTTAGGTAAAGTGTTCTAGTTCTGAAGATGATCCTTGTCTCTCTTTTTAGGTATCATTTTATAAAATTTTCATATATTGTTTCTGAGTCTGTATGAATGTTAGCTAACACAATATGACATACATCTATAACATGAATCAAGGGAAGGCTGAGGGCTTTTAACTTTCCTTTTGTGTGGAATAGTGGCAAAAATGTTTTATAATATTAGCATTTACACAGATCAGGCTCTCATTATCTTTTAAAATACCTTTAAATTTTAATATCCCAGGGTAAAAGGTGATGTAAGGTTTGGCTACAAAACATCAAATGATATAAATAAATCCTCAGTAAAATCTGTTATCCTTATAAGTTTAAAATTCCACTAGACAACTTTAGTTGAAGAACAACATCTTGGTAAAATGTTCCTTTAAATCTGATGTTTTTATATTAACCAAGTTTAACCTTTAAAGAAAAATGTAGACTCTGTGATGTAGAACAATTCTTTAAAATAACAGTTGCTATTTAACCACAGATGTACAAACATTAATTTCTCCAAGACTAATTGCTCTGTAAAAATATGTTTTTACTCTTGTTAATAATTAATAAAACTTAACAGACACAATGTAATTAATATTTTAAGAAGTCTTTGGCATTTTAACATATAGGTCAAACTTTGGTTTATATCAGTACATTAATATTTGTTCTTAGAGAACAACCTGAAATAGTTTTAACTATTTGTGTTACATATATATAAAACAAACTTAGTTATACATAAACCTTTTAATATTTACCTTTTATTTATAGATTTTTATATTACTTAATTAGATCCTATTGTTCACTTAGATGTATTACAATTTTACTTTACCACATAAAGACTTTCTTACCAGGGGATATTTTTTCCCTTCACTAAATACACTTTTATATTTAGAACCTTCTAATAATTTTTAATCTGTTGATCTTTCTGTTTATACTTTGAAATAACTCTTATAAATTTTTGAATTTGGATAAATTATTCTGTCTTAACAAGATGACATACTTTATGTTTTTTACTGTACTCTAATTGAAATGCAGTTGAAACCTCTGGACCCCTTGTATATAGAATTATACCTGTTGGGACTTTTAACTTTAAGTAACCTTATTTTAGTGATAACACAAAGTAATTTAAAGTCCTTTTTAATTTACCAATTTATGAAAATACAATAATGTTTAAGTATCTTACCTTATGGAATTTAAGAAGTTAAGAGTATTTGATATTGTATTCAACAGTTAGAATTTTAACTTTGTAAACCAATCAGATGTCTCCAACAAACACATCCATGATTAAATCCATACATGTCAGATCTAATTTACATATTTTTTTAAAAAACCAAGATATCAGACAAGTGCATTGAACAGTACTAGTCACCATTTTTTTTTCCTGTTGAAGAAAAATCCTAGAAACAATGGATATTAGATACTTTATAGACATTAACATTTTATTTAAATAGAACCATTTAAATCATATGAACCAAAGGTATTTGGATCCATTTTTTAAAATTTTAATTCATGAGTTCATATGTCAATTTTGGTACCAAATATATGTCGATATGGCAATACATGTAGACAGACAGTACACTGGGACACCTACACAAAACAGACAGACCAACAAAAACCCTGTAGGTTATTCCTTTAAAATCTATTAGATTCAGACTTAACCCTTGTAAAATGGCCTTAGAACAAAGCTGAGTGTAATCAAAATAACATATTAACCTAGGTGTGTTGGATCAAAATCAGGAATTTAACAAATATAGAATTTAAAAAAGCCTTTCTGGCGTCCGTACTGAGGTGGTCCCACTCATCAAAGGTAAAAGGAGTTAAGGGAACATAGACAAATGATGGGGCCTTCTTCCTCCCTCAGGGAACTTCCCAAAGAGGCAGCTCCACTGGCCTCCCTGGGAGAGTCCTCCCAGCTTGGGGTCCCATTCTAAACTGGTTTTTCTGGGTTCTTGGATAGCAGCCACCAAATTTCAGCCTGACATTGAAAAATCTTTGGACCCTTTTTAATAGCGGGGAGTTATTCATGCTTGCAAATATTGAGAGACAAAAGCCAAATTTCCTAGACAAAATTAGGCTTTTTTACACAATTTAGAAATAATAATTTTATAAAACCCTTTAGTTCTAATCTGCCCTCTATAGGGACAGACATTGTCTACCCTCTTGGCCTCGTGGCCCATTTCCTAAATGAAGGCAATCTCTAGAATGCTCTTTTACCTTTAGTTTTTACTTTTTGACCAAAAAAAAAATTATCTGTTGGCAGCCATTGACATTTTAATGCAAGCTTTAATGAGCACAGTTAAAACATTCTTAACCATTTTTAAAATATCAGAAACAAACTGAGGTAGAAATTAACACACACACACACACACACACACAAAAGGGAACAAACAATAACAAACAACAAACAAGACAAAAACACAAGGCAGATAATCAAACCCACAGCAGGTCAGGTGCCAAGGACAAACTTAACCCCAGACCAGACAGACCAGAGAACCAAGGAAAAGCCAGACAGAGAACCAAGAAACCTCTTGCTAGCCCTGGACTCGGGCCCATGATGCTGCGTCCAGCTTTTCCAGAGCCCCTCCAGACACAGATCCGCACAGTGCGGACTTCCCTTCTCTGGGGAAACAGACGACTCTTGGCAGTTTTAGGAGGGTGAGGGGTTGGTGGAGGGATGGCCCAGGGCTGAGGAACGCCTCTCAGAGGCCTTCCCCTGGGTGGTCCTGAGCCATCTCTGGAACACTAGAAAAGTAGATCTCACTGGGGCCTCCTGCTGTTGTGGGGCAGGTCACTCAGAAAACACCAAGTCCCAGTTTTGTCCAAATTGCAGAGTCTTCATTCCGACAGGCAGGGACTGCTTCCTATGGGAACAAGTTCTCTCTTCAGAAAACAGCCTATAGCTTCAACATTTTAAGATATTTAAAGACAAAAAACCCAACAACTACATCCAGATTGACGTAGCTGATAGCAAGCAGGAAGAGAAGCTCAACTGGGCAGTTAGCAAGACAATGCAATGGGTGCCTTGGTATTTCCCATGGAACTAGCCAGGTTGGCAGAGCAGACACAAGCAGAAGGGACGTGGGTCAAAAGGACCTAATGGAGTACAAGCTAGAGAATGGTTACTAATGTCTACACAATCAATCTCTGTCAAGGTGCATTTCCCAAGAAAAATGGAAACCAAAGAGAATGATTTTATGTTGTGTAAGAATTGCTATTTTGTGTTGCAAGTATACTATGCTAGGCAATGATTAATGGGTACAGAACTGGGACTATCCCAGGGAGAAGCATTTCTTACATGATGTGGAGTCTCAGGGTAAAATGGAGTCTGTTTGGTCATTGCCCATATATCCTGGCTCATAAAACGGCCAAGGGCAGCTGGTAGCCCTTGGCAGGTCCCATTTGTCCCCTTTCTATAAGATATAAAAGTGATGGTGTTAAAAGATGTTCTAGGTTATAGAAGGAACCAGTTTAAACTGTCCTACAGGCCTGCAGGATTCGGGACCCAGAGAGTCAGGGCCCAAGGTGCAGCCATGTCATGACAAGCAGACGCTGTGGGGTGGCGGGTGCCGAGGGGCAGCTTCAGCACCAGCACCTCGCTGACTTCCCCGAGGACAGGGCATGTCCTGCACACGGCCATTTCTAGACAAGGGGCAGGTGTTGCTGCTCAAACAAGGAGGGGAGCCTGGTCTCGGCTCTGGGGACCTGGATTCCCCCAGGGCCTGCCAGCTTGAGGTACCCAGACTTCCTGACAAGGTGAAGGGAGCATGCCAATGAGAGCCACCAGGGCAACACTGGGTCCCTGGGTGTGGCCTTCAACAGCCCAGGTCCTTCATTCCTGGGGAAAGCCCATGCTCCCAGGGGCAGGGAGGCGCCTTCTCTGAGCTCAGGAGTGGGCTAAGGGAGGATGTGAACTTCAAACTGAGGCAAACACCAGGCCCCAAGCCCTGGGGGCTCTGGCACTGACCTGGTGTTATTTGGGCAGTGGAAAGCCAGTGTGTCGTCCCGGCCAAGGAGAGAGTGAACTGCGGCTACCCTGCCATCAGCCAGGAGGACTGTTCCAACCGCGGCTGCTGCTTTGACTCCAAGACTCCAGGGGTGCCCTGGTGCTTCAAGCCTCTGCAGGAGACAGGTAAGGCCCAGCATGGTGACCACAGGTGCCTGGTGTCTCAAGGCCCCCATCCTTCCTGGGCCCTAGTGGAGGCATGAAGACCCCCAGGAAGGCCCACCTACCTGGCTTGGGCAGGACAACCAGCACTGTCACTGTGACTATCTGTGTGTAGAGCCTCTTATCAGGGGCCCTCTGCTGAGGGCAGCTGGTAGCCACTGGCTGGTCCCATTTGTCCCCTTTCTATATTATACATAAGAGGGACGCTGTTAAAACATGTTCTAGGTTAAGGAATCCTGTAGAAGGAACCAGATTAAACTGACCCACAGTGAATGGGGAGATATGCAGGTGTGGAATGCTGAGCTATTTTCTGCAAACCAAGCACCCAGGGTCCCTGTCATCTGTGACTTGCTCACAGCAGCTGGTGGCCATGCTGGTGTGGTGCCCTGGTGCCTCCCTGCACCCCAACCTGCTACTGACTGCCCACTGGGTGTGCCTCTCCTCCCTCCTCCCTCAGTGGAGCAGGGGTCAGTGGGGGTGCAGCACAGCCCCCTCTTGCTCTGGGAGGGGCCCTGTGCCTGGGCTAACGACAGATGGCGTGAGCACAGGTGGTTTGCCATCCTGACTCCATCTGGGCCCCACCCCACCAGGTCTTGGGAGTGCCTGTCTGCTCAGAGCCATCTGGCCTCCCAGGGGCCAGCTCACCTTCTCAGAAGGACCTGCCTTCCAGAAGCACCTTCCTGGAGTCAGAGCCAAGGGGTCAGACTTGGCTTTGTGCTGGGGCGGCAGGAAGGAGGCTGAGCTCCAGCTGCTGCAGCCTCTGACCAAGGATGGTGTTTGCCTCCCGTCCTGAGCACAGCCAGGGGGGAGGGCCGGAGAAGGCTTGAGACCCGCCAGGGAGCTGGCCTTGCCCCTGCTGGCTGTCCACCTTCCTCTGCCTGCCCTCTGGGGACTCCTCCTCTTCTTTGAGTGCTGGCCAGGGGTCCTGCCAAGGCGCACCTCACTTCTCCATGCCCTGATGACCTGGGTCCAGTTATTTCCCATAGTGACCCTCCATGGGATAGGCAGCTGTCCTCACAGGCTGTGGGGACACTCCGTGTTTCCCTGGAGACCCGGGGGAGGCTTCAGAGAGGCGCTGCCTTGGAGACCACCCTGCCTTGGCATCCAGGCTGGGCAGGGTGGGTGGAGATGGCACCGCTCACCCTAACGCCTGTGCTTTGTCCCCAGAATGCACGTTCTGAAGCTCTGCTCTCTGCGGCCTGGGATGGCACCTGCCTGTGGATGGTGGCTGGCGGAGGGGGCTGCTCATCACGGCTCCCCCTGCTCTGGGCAAGTGCGTCAGCTGAACACTCGTGTCCAGGGTCTGCTGTCTAATGAATAAAGCTCTCATGCTCAGCATGAGGACCGTTCTTCATGCCAAGCCTCTGCCCTGTGTTCCTCTCTGCCCCCTTGCCAGGCTGTCTCCTGGCACCCATGGGTGGGGTGGGCTGGGAGTAATCAGGGGTCTCCCAGGACTGGTCTGCCCCAGGCCCTGGCAGGCAGATAGAACGAGGAGCTGCGATGCCTTGGCTGCTGCCCTCAGTAGCTGCCCACATGAAGGAGGCCAGGGGACCTTCACTTGGCTCCTTCCTCCTAAGTTCTGAAAACCATGTCACATGCAAGTTTTTAAAAAGCTGTGCCTGCCTTTCTTGGGGAAGACAGAAGTCAGGAAGTCCCCTCACAAATGGGAGCTTCTTGTATTTGTTGGCAGGTCAAGTTTAACCCCGAGACCCTTCAGATGACCTTCTTTCCTTTTCTCTTCCATGAACACGGGTCTGCTGTATGCACCAGTCAAGGAGTGTCACTGACCTCCTGTCCCATTCAGTGTCCCGGCCTCTGCAGGGGAGGCTGTCGCCTGCCCTCCCTGGGGCAGCCTGGCTCTGCACTCACCCTGAGAAGGCCCCAAGTGTGCCCAGGATTTGCCAACACTCGGCCCCCATGGGGACTGTCCTAAGGGGCATCTGCCCTGTCATGGTGCAAAGGCCAGATGTCACCTCTGCCCACAGGGTGGGGTTGCTAGGTGTCCTCCCCCTGGGAAGGAGACACTGGGGCCCTAGGCAGCAGCCTTCATTCTGACCCTGTGCTGGGACCCTGACCTTGCCCTCCCACTCCCTAGAAGTGCCACAGAACTGCCTTTGGCCTCTGAGGGGGGATCTCTCTTCAGGTACTTGTCCTACGGCTGGGACTGAGAGGACGATGTCAGGAAGTCCTGGTCTTAGGATCCAAAACCTTCCTGTCCCTTCATAATGGTCTGTGGGGCCACCTGTCTGACCTGAAGGGACCCCCAGCACCTGGGCGTGCACCAAAGGCCTGCCCTGCACTTGAGGAGGGCTGCAGCCGTGCTCGCCTGGCCATGTTGCTGCCTGGGTCCTGTCCCCCTCTCCTCACAGATTGCCCAGCCCTGAGGCTGAGCCCGATCACAGCTGCAGGGATGTGAAGTTTCCCTGGCCCTGGGCCCAGCCTCAGGCCTCACAGCTGCTGAGACCCCTGGGCTGGGTCAGGAGCCTGAGCTCTGTTGACTTCCCTCCCTGACCTGCATGTGCCCTCACCCCTCGCCCTCCAGCAAGACATCTGTCATGGGAAACTGACCACCTGTGTCTCCAAAGCCCCCCTTACCTGCACCTGCTGTGCCAGGACTGCCCTCCCTGACCTGGGCTCAGGTGCCCCCTGTGCTGTGCTCTACCTGGCCTTGGTCTCTTGTGCTTCCCTCTGTTCCCCTGACAGTGACTCAGTGCCACCCAGAGCCTGCAGCTGGGCAGAGCCCTCCTCCTCCCCCACAGAGCTGCTCCACCTCTCCAGTGAGCTTGTCCCCAGCTGAGCTAGCACCATGGCTCACACAGGTTCTAGAAGTTTCTCTCACTACTCTGTGTGTGCATTGAGTTTGCTACTGTAACAGGGTCCACTTTAGGCTTGGACTTGGCCCTTGCTGCTCAGCCACTGCAACTGGTTTTTAAAATGGACCTGTTTCTTTCTCTCCCTCTCTCCCTGCTTCTTCCTAATGTCAGGGGAAACAGGATTACCTTTCTTCCCCATCCTTGGCAGAGATATCTGTCCCTGAGTACACCCCCTCCATAGGAATGAAGCAATGCAGGCTTGGGGATAGCACCAGAAATCTCAGAAATGACTCTCTCTGCTGGGTTTCTGTTCTCGTGACTGGGTTCACTCCAGTTGAACTGGGCTGACTGGGCTGTGCACAGTAACCACACAAGAGACACAAATACCTTTTTTATTGGGGTCGATGTGATGGCTCCTCTGACCTTAAGAGTCCGCAGAAAGAGAGAGAGAGCACACGCTGACCCCTTTTATTGAGGAGAAGCTATTCAAGTGAGGCAAGGGGTCAGATTCAGGGGGCTGAGTCTATCTTCATGATGTCCACTGTCAGCAGGTTGACTGACACCAGGGTAGGCCACATCCAAGGGCACAGTAAGAGAAGGGGACACACACAAGGCACTTCCATGGAAGATTCTATCCTAAACAGGGCAAGGGGTTATATTACAAAGGAACATGTGAGCATAGCTCCACCCATGGGGCTATAAGGAGACAAGCTTGGGCAGGAAGACACAAGTCCCTCAAACCCTAGAAGAACGGGACAGTCTAGCAGCATGGGTGCCTGATGCCACATGGCTCAGCAGGGGAGTCAATTCAAGTCTCATGCTGGGTTGGTCTCCCACATGTCTCCAAATTAACAAAAGTGAATTACAGCCCTGGATGAACAGGTGGAATTGTAGCCTTTGACCCACCTCTTTAGCAGCCTCCTGTTAAAGAGGGGCAGAGTCACAGCCTGTGGGGCAGGAGTCCCCTGTGTTTCTTCTTTGCTAGCAAAGCAATAAACCTTCTTTTTCCTTTTTCTAAAAACGGTGTCCTTGTTATTGGATTGGAATTGGGGAGAGAGATGGAGCTTTCAGCAGCACCCAGTGTGCACACTGAGAACCTGGATTCCACACATGTGGTCATTCTTCGTGGGGACATCTTCTTCTCTGTGGGAACATCTGCTGTGCCACTGGAGAAGGAGTCAGGGTTATGTGGGACTTGAGGACTGGAAGGTCAGGTGCCAGTGACCAAAAGGAGGCAGATTAAAAGCAGCTGAACAGGGCTTTACTGAGATTCGCTCCCGGGGAGAGGGAGACCCTCCAGTCCAACAGAGCAGTTGGAATTGCACCAGGCTCATGGGAAACTATCCACCTGTGTCTCCAGTCGGATTGGGATTTTATTGGGCTTAGGGCTGGAAGGAGGGCTTGGGACAGAAAAGGAAGGTTTTTAGAGTCTCTTGTCCTCCTGGGGTTGGTCAGGGGATCTTGCTGAGATCTGTGTCCTTCCAGGATTGATCAGGAGACCCTGTTGATTGACAGGTGGTCAGGAGGCACCGTCACTGCTTGTCTGTTGGCACCTGATTGGTTGTTCTGTCACTTGTGTGGGTGCCTGGTGCTTTGTTTCCTTAGCCACCTCAAACCTACCTATTAAGGACCTGGAGACTTTCACTCCCTTTTGGTCTGTTGCAGGTTCTCCTCTGTTGGTTGGCCTTGGGTGGGCGGATCCTTTCTGGCTGTCTGTCTTTCTGTTTTGTACACCCATGGAGCTGGGGGTGGCCTGTCAGAGGAAAAGGCAGTGTGAGAGATTGGCACGTGCAAGTCTGTCTGTTTCAAAGTGGCTGTGTGCCAGGCATGGTTTCAGGGATCCCCGTCTTCCCTGTTCCTCTTTTTGGGTCTCTCTCTGGCCTTTAAGACAGGGCCATGCTGAGGGGATCTTACTGGCAGTCTCTGAGGAGAGGGATCACAGTGAAAGGGCCACCTAGAGGCAGAAGCCTGACTAAGAGAGAGACGCGGCTCTGCGTCGTGTTCCTGGACTATCAGCACCTTGCAGCTGGAGTTGGTCTGTCAGAGGTGAAGCTTATGAAGGACGGTCCCACAGGCCTCGGTGCAGGTGCAGGGGGGTGGGCACCCTCAGGAGCCAACTGCAGGTGTCAAAAGGCACAGCCTCTGGTGTGCGAGGACAGCAGACTCCAGAAGAAGGGTAGAAGAGACTCCTAGCCTTCAACCCAGAGCTGGCCCCAGCACTGCTCCTCCGCCTGGCCCCCGGCAGCTGCAGATCCCTCCCTGTGGGTCAAGGACCCCATCCCCGAGCCGGGCAGAAACCCAGGGGAGCTGCCTGCCTGCAGAGAAATGGGCAACGGGAACCGGCTCTGCCCTGCCTTCCAGCGCCTTTGGCCCTGGGGTGGAGGCTGCTGGCCACAGAGGACGTGGCAGTAGGTTCCCGCTTGTCAGTTTAGGACCTGGGGACAGGAATAGACTCCCCTTTTAAGATTTGACAGGAGACTCCATTTGGCCAGAGGATATCCATTACTGGGGCAGACCAATTCTAACATAACAGTATCCCACCAAACCAAATGCCTGAAGAGCCTGGCAGAGTAAACCACTGCACCCAGAAAAGATAAAGAAACTAAGGCCCACCTCTGTTTTGGTGACAGCCTCTGCAAAGGGACCTTCTAGGAAGCCTAAAGAAAAGGACGGAATGGCCTCCTCCACTGCATATCAATGCGCCTAGTGTAAGCCAAAGACCCAAGAGCAGCCTCTGGGTACCATTGACAGTGGGGAGCTCACTTAGAGCTGACGGCATGTGACAGTGAAAACAGAGGCAGGTCAGGCTCAAAAATGTCCTGTACCTCAACCTCTGGAACACCAGCTGGGAGGGAAGAAGATCAAGGCACATTTTTGTATATACAGATTTTCTGATTCCTGTCCTGGGTGAAATTTGTTGTGTAGATTAAATGCACAGATAGCATTCATATGAATTTATGAAAGGGTCTGAAACTAGAAAAGAGATATAGGAAAGTTATAGGTATGGAAATATATTGGAGAACAGAAAATTAGAAGGTAAGAGAAATGTTTCTGGATGAGAAAGTATTTTGTCTGGTAAAGTAATATTCTTGGGGTGCAGCCCCCGACCAGTGCGGGCAGCTAAACTTTAGATCGCTCGAGTGAATTTCCTGGGACACCAAATAAAACACGGACACACATTTTACCTTTGAATCAAGCTTCACGGCGGCTCGTCTGCTCTGGCCTCAAGCTCCCCAAATGGGAGAGCGAGGAAAGTCACAAGAGGCTGGCGCGAGAGAGTTAGCATGCTCAGAAGTGAGCTTTTATTGGGGGGACCCCCATTCTTTAGAAAATTCCATCCAAAAAAGGTCAAGAGGGGTAGGGTTACAAGGACAGGTCAGGTAATTCGACCCCTGGGGCTGCAGGAGGCCACGGCTATGCATGAAGACACATTCTGCTACTTCAAGGATTGGGGCAGCATCTTAGGCCACTACGAAAGTGACCAGGTCACTACGAAAGTGACCAACAGAGCCTCTTCCAATCATGGGAAGGAAAATGCTAGTCATTCAGTGTGACGGTCCCCCACATGGTGGTAAAGTCCAAGGTAGAAGAGGATAAAACTACAGATGTAAACAGTCGTGGAACATCTGAGAAAGTGGCAGACATTTGTGGAAGGTAAATCTTAAAAAGGTTGTATGTAATTAACTGGCTATAATTAGTACAGTCAAAATTATTAAAATTAACATTAGTGATAAAAGGAAAGTCTGAAATATTCATCTGCTCTTATCTATCAAGATAATTTTAAGTCTGAAATATTCATCTGCTCTTATCTATCAAGATAATTTTCTTGTAACTGTTAGGTTTTATCACTTGGGGAAATTAAGTTTTAAAGGAATTAGAGTTTGTACACATTTTAAAGTGTTTTAAATGATTACTTTGTGACTGGTTAAATGAACAACAGTTATTTTATGTTATAATGATGTAGCTGACACCCTAAATATATGTAAGTCGATATATGTATATATCTGAGAAGTATATCTGTTCAAGCTTTGTCAAGTGTTATGTAAATTTGTAAAATGAAAGTTTATCTAGTTTTGCTGGAAGGTAATCAGTAAGTGCTCTCCTTTATACATTGTATCTGACATAGAAAGATCACTCTCCTTACATTGGTTTGTTTTGAATAAGGCTATTTCTGATCATTACAGTGTTTCCTAAATGTAAAAGAGATTTAAGGCTAATTTTTGCTAGTACTGCTAATCCATGCAGACCTGTGACTATTTACTGCACACTATAGATTCTAAATTTTACTTTAAAAGTTAAACATTTTTAATGGAAATCTTAGGAGAGCACTTCACAAAGTTGGTGTTCTCCAAACTAACATTGTCTGTAGCAAGAGTCTCCTTCAGATTTATACAGAAATAACACATTTGGTTAAATTTATTTATGTTATTTAATGTTTTATAACTGGATAAAGGTCATCTGTGGTCAATAATTTATATATTAAAATTTGTGTTACTCTTTAAATTGGGATGGAAGTGAAAATGTATTTTTGGAGGGTACTGGGAGACCTGATTTGTTTATAGGTCGACTTTATAAAATACGGAAGCATTGTGCCACTTTTTCCACAAAAAGAAAGCTAAGTCTCTCTTGCCTTTGTTGACTCATGTTTCAGATGTAATGTTGTGTTATGTTAATTGATATTCAAAGACTTGGGAAGTAATATGTGAGAGATTCATAGAATGATATTTTAAAAGGGGGCAAGATGAGAGTTAGAAATAAAACACTTACTCAGATTTGAAAGCGGCCAGGCTCGGCTGAATAAAGGTTCTTCTTCCCCTCCTACTCACGTTATGATGGCTCTGAAGTGGGCTTGAATTAAGCTTATTTAAAATTTTGTACAGAAGATAGTTTTTTTTTTTTTTTTTTGTAAAGATTAGTATAGTCTCAAAAACAAACAAACAAACAAAACCCAGGGTATATAATACATTACTAGGTAAAGATTTAAGATGATAAAAGTCACGTTTCTTGGTTTATTGCTATTACACAAGCTAAATATGTTTTTGCTGTTAATTTCATTTTGTATTTTCCTCGTAAACATTATAACTGTCGCCTCTTAGTGTTTTGCAGAGGTACTGCTTCTAATCAAACAAGCTGTGTGAACTTGAGATTCCAAGCCATCACCTACAGGACAGAAAGCATCCAGTGCTGACTCCAGTACTCACACTGGTCCCAGTTAAATGGGCAGGAACTGTAAATTATAAACTTGAGAGTTAAGACCCATTACCTCCACTTCAAGCCTGGGGATACTGGCCTGTTGGATGCCTAACACCTAAAACTTGGAGATGAAAGTAGAGGAAGAAGGTGGCCAAGAAAAGCAGCCAGCCTTTTGACCCTTTCCCTCTAAGGACAGCCAGGACCCAGAGAATGACAGGACCCCTCTCTGGGTCCTGTAGCCCTGGTGAGTCACCTGATCTGCTCATCAGAGGGACGGAAAGAACCTCAGAGAACAGGAAGCCAACCAGTGCATGTTCTGCAAAGAGGAGGGTCATTGAGAGGGAAATGGCCCTGGCCTTGGGGGCACTGATGTGGCTCTCAGGAAGTGAGTGAGTTCCCCAGAGGGTGGGTTGTGGCTGTATCCCCAGGGGCTCTCTGCAGGAGCTTCTGCCACGGTGACCCTCCTCCATGTGGCCCTCACCGGAGCCCAGCAGATGCCCACCTTTTTTGGCCCTTGCCCTCTAAGGACAGCCCATGCTCTGGGCCTCCAGACTGTGAACCAAACTCCTTCCTTTTTAAGTGTCCTGCTTCAGATATTTTGTCACCACAGAAAACAGACTCAGTTAGTGCAGGATTCTCCACCCAAGATCAGAGAGTGCGGCCCCACCCTGCGGCCCGGGGGACAGCCCTCCAGCTGTTGGTCCTCCATGGTGCCAGAGGGCCTCCCCAGCCCAGGCCCTCCCTGGGCCTCTTGTCCAGTTCCTGAGCGCTCATCTCTTCCTGGTGGCTCCTCCCCACGATCCCACAGCACTGTCAGGATGAGGCAGGGCGTGGAGGGCTGACGGGCCCCCACCTGCTGACTTGTGGTCCTGAGTGGTGTGAGCAGTGGGCAGCCAACGGCTGTCTATGCCTCGGAGGACAGGACCGGGGCAGTGGCAGCACTCTGCGCTCAGGAGGACTCCTGCATGAGGCTCCCTCCTGCTCCCCCTCATCCTGTCTGCCTCTGGAGACCAGCTGGTGCTCATGATGTACAGCAGAGGGACCAGGCAAGTGCGCAGGCAGCCTAGATGGCTCACTGGCTGCTGGGTCCTCTGGCCCTGAAAGCTCATCACCCAGCAAGAATCAGGCCCCTGGACCCACACCTGCTTCCTGTACTTGGCCTCAGGGCCCTTGCACCACGACCCCCAGAACCTTGAGGCCCTGAGGTGTCTGTATCTTATTCTTCTCTACTATGGAGCCTGAGGCCCAGGTGAGCACCATGGCCTCAGCTCTGTCGCCCTCACAGGCACTGTGGCCACTGTCCACCTGGTCACTCAATGGTCCCACCACTTTGTTCCTGTGGAGGGCATGTGCTCAACTACAGATCACCTCTGCCTGCTGACAACTCTGCCTGTGGATGACTGGGACCAAGTTTGTGTTCCACAGAGTCGGAGAATGAACGCCGTGGACAGCCAAGGGAAGCAATTTTATTTAAGAGGGTAATGGAGGACGGCCTCTCCCAAGAGGAGGGTGCCTGAGGGAGGGGCGCCCTGCTCTTCTTAGCCCTCAGACTTCGCTCTTTCATTACTAATTGTCTTTTTTTCTTCCCTGAATATGGGCCTAGGACTGTGAGCACGAAAGTCTTTTGAAAAATAACCTCAGCTACTCTTTGATCTTTCTTTGAAAAACAATCGTGTCCTCTCGCCCCTCATTACTTTTACCCATGTCGGCTGCCTGATTTGAAAACGGTTGTTAGCCAATTTTCTCTTACCAGACCCTGGTCATTCTTACCCACACTGACCACCGGACCTGTTCCCCAGCACTGGCATGGGGAAGAAAGGTGACCCTGTTTCCCTGAGATGAGGGAGGGGGAGAGACTGGGGAGGAGCAGGACAGGAAGAGGAAGAAGCGTGTCCTTTGAATACAACAGCAAAGGCTGTTCTCAGGGGGCAGTGGTCACCCTGCCATGGTGTCTCTGTGTGCTGCTGGCTGCTCAGGACCTCATCAGAAAAGCTTGGGTGTGTCTCCCAGGGATGTGGGAGGACCCCTAGGTCAGCCCGGACACTGAGCCACCTCCACCCTAGGCACAGGTGCTATTTCACCCCACGCATAGGTGCCACCTTCTGGCACCCTCTTCACCCAGGAGAACTGCCGCAGGTGGGGACAGGAGCAGGGCCCTAACCTTCCATCTGGAACTCAAACATGGGCCCCACAGTTCGCCCTGTTCCTGCCCGAGCAGCCCCTGGCCCTCTGCTCCACGCATCCTGGGCTTCTTGTCCAGGAGCATGGCCCCCCTGCTGCGGGTGCCACTTCAAAATTCACGTTGAAGTAAAGAGGTGGGGACTCTGGGAGTGCTTGGTGGCTCTGTCCCATGGGCAGAGTGGTGCCTGTGCTGGCTGAGGCCCTTCTTCCCTCCCCCATCCCGCCACACGAGGGCACGGCGAGGAGGCACCCTCTGAACAGCCTTCTCCAGACACTCCGCCCTGCTGCCACCTTGAGCTTGGCCTTTCCTGCCCCCACCGCTGAGCAACACTCTGCTGGTGCCTCTGAAGGACGGAGTCTATTACAGCAGCACCTAGGCTGAGACACCCCGATCCGGGCACTTCATCCTCAGCCCAAGTGGGAGGCTTGGACCTCGGAATCCTCAGGGCCACTTTCAAAGCAGCTCAGAGCCCTGGTGGTTAAGTCAGTCTGTGCTGGGGCCTGTGCAGGTGGACAGGACCTGTAGCACGCCGGCACGGGCAGGCAGACACCCGGGGATGGAAGGGAGGAGGGCCTGCGGGGCGCTGGCTGCCAGGACAGGACGGCAAGATCTCACCCGAGAAGGAGACGCATGCCGCCCGCCCCCCTCCCCGGGAGCCTGCATGCTGACTCCCCCGAACAAGCAGAGCCTGCAGAGCCGCTGGGCTCTGAGGGCACGGGCTGGGGCTGGGAGGCCTGGCAGGCCAAGGCACAGGGAAGGGACCGCGTGTGTAAAGTCTTCCCCCAAATCATGTTGGTTCCAGAACCAGGTGGTACTGCTGGCAGAGCGGCAGGAGGGTTGGAGACAGGAAAGGGTGTGTAGGAGGCCCCGCCTCAGGCACCCACCCAGGGGTCCACCAGGCCCAGTCAGTGATCCAGAGGGAAGGCATTTCAGTGCAATGCTGCAGCGGATGGCCACCTGCTTTATTCAATCAATCAATCAATTAATTAATTATTATTATTGGTATTGGAGACTGAACCCAGGGATGCTTAACCACTGAGTCACATCCCCAGTCCTTGGCTGGTCTTGAACTTGTGATCCTCCTGCCTCAGCCTCCTGAGCTATTGGGATTACCTGTTTTTATAAATAAAGATTTATTGGAACAAGAGCTAGGGTTTGGTGAGTGGGGTGAAGCACATTTGTTCAAATAGGGGATTGAACCCTGTCTTTCTTGGAATTTTTGTGTTTTGTTCATCATGCGTTTTTTTTTTTTCACTACCTATGAATACTTCTCTTGAAAGTTCTTGGCAGAAAATCAAGTGAAGTCATTTTAGTATTTCACTCCACCCTCCTGCCTCCTGCTGTAGGGTGGGGTGCTCCACCTCTCAGTCAAGTCCTGGCTCTGCTCTCCCTGGGTGAAGTCCTTTAAGGGCCCCTTTTCTCTGGGGCTGCCCTGGGCTGGGTGATGAGGCTGTCCTCCCGGGGCCCTGGGATGGACGTGAACTGGATCCCCGGCCTTCTGTTCTGGGTTCCCCACCTCCAGCACCACCTCCCTCTGCCCTGCCTTCCCCTACCATGGTAACTCAGGATGCTTCCTGGGGCCCCAGGCAGGGTGTGTGTTAGGAGCCAGGGCAGAAGCCCCAAGGGCACTCCCAGAGAGTTCCCTGAACACTGGGTTAGAGCAGACAGGGGCCATTCTGCCATCCTGTGGACACAGCAGAAACTGTGTCCAAACCACCAGGGGTGGAGACACGTGTTGTAGCCCAGTGGAGGCTGTTCCACTGTCGCCCTCTCCTGGCACTCTGGGTGACTGCGCTCCTTGTAGATCAGCACAGCTTGGCTTGTGCCTCCGTCCTGGACAGAACAAAGAACCCAGCCACAGCCAACGGTGGATTAGCCCCTCCCGGCAGCAACGGATCCTGAGCAGACCCCTTCCTGGGAACACCCCGTCTCTAGGGCAACCCCAACTCCACACGGATTCTTGCTGATGCTCTCACTTGGGTGCCTCGAGGTGCTGGGGTCTGCCTCTCCATCCACCGGGGGCCAGGTCTTGGGGATGGACATCAGAGAGGGTCAGCAAGACAGAAGGTCAGCGGGGTCTAGGCCAACAGGCGCAAGGACAGCTGCCTGACCTGGAGCACAGTGCTCCTGTGGTCTCAAGGGCCACACCAGGCTGGGCAGCTTCTCTCCAGTCTGTCACCAAGCCTGTTCTGGGCTGCCTGGTCCATTCTTGCCCTCCTCTAGGGCTTGTGGGAGTGGTCAGGGGTGGAGACACGTGTTCTAGCCCAGCGGAGGCTGTTCCAGCAGGGGCATTTGGAAATCGGGGGGCACATTTCTGAGTGTCATATAAATAAGGCCCTGGGATGGCAGGAGACTGTGAGGGCAGGGTTCCCCAGACGACTGCCTGTACCTGTAGACTAGCTCAGGATGGTGACACCCCCATTTGTTAAGTGTGAGCCTGGTGGCCGTTCTGTTCTGTGTCCTATCACAAAGTCGCTTCTGCCGTCTGTTGTTCTCCTGGTTTGAATGTGCCCACGTCTTCTAGTGACACCTGGCAGGTGAGGCGTGGGGAGCGTGCCTGTCCAGTTTGGACCTTGGCTGAGCTACTCCTTTCAATACACGATGCCCGTAGTGGCCTGTGAGCTGCCCACTCGGCCGCCTGCTCCTGCCTCCATGAGCCGCCCTTCGCTGTGATTCAGGTGATCCCATGCAGGGGTTCAGGTAGCAGGGTGTCTCTGGGCATCTGTGTGGCCAGAGATGACCCTCCAGAGTGGCCTCATAGCTTCCCTTTGCTGTGTGACTGAGCCCTGGCAGGGGCCTGCCTCCTCCAGAGACTGGACTTCTCCCCTGGTCCTGCATCTTTAGGTTGAAGAGACAGTGTCAAGTACTGTAAAGGGCAAGAGACTCTCTGGGCGGCAGGTCCCTATCAACAGAATGGGGACAGTCACAGTAGCTGTCATGACCACACAGTGCTGTGAAGCAAGGTGCTGGCTGAAAAGACTCCTCACAGGTGGGCACCTGGAGGCCAGAGCCCTCCCGCCCTCCCGCCTCCTGCTTGGGGTGGGGTGCTCCACCTCTCTGAGCTCCTGACTGCCTTTCCTCCTTAGGTTTTACTGTGCTGTAAAAACCCAAGTGTGCTTCGTGCTAAGTGGAAAAGCCAGACACAGGGAGCACGTGTTGCATGATTTTATTTCCCTACGATGCGCAGCACGGGAAGATCCACAGAAACGGAAGGGGGTCAGGGTCTGGGCTGGGGAGAGACCAGGAGTGGGTGCTAGTGAGTGGGGTTTCCTGGTGGGCAAGGACAGCACCCTGAGACGGGGTGGTGGTGAAGGCCGCACTGTTCTGCGAACCTCCAGACCCGAGGTCCAGCTGTCCACTTCCACAGAGTGACTTCTGTGTGTGTGAAGATATCTCATATACACACGTGCATTCACACCTCTGCCGATTTGCCCACACAGGCGACGTCTGGCTTCCTAGTTGGAAAACTGCGAGTTCATTTCCAAGGGTGTATGGAACACCAGCATGTGGCCGGCTCACCTGGCCCTCAATGCCATCTGTCCTGCCACGTGGCATCTGAGGTGGCCTATCGGAGCCCTTGAGCTTGGGAGACCACACTCAGTGTACCCAAATCATCTGCTGCTTCTCTCTGGGCAGCTGTCCTTGAGCCTGTTGGCCTAGACCCCGCTGACCTTCTGTCTTGCTGACCCTCTCTGATGTCCATCCCCAAGGCCTGGCCCTGGTTCTCTGTCCTGGAGGGCAGGCCCCTTGCCCCTGGAGTGCCCAGCTCTGGAGGGTGCCCTTGGACACCTACATGGGTGCAGTCATTGCTGTGCTCCTCCCATACACCCCAGTCCTCGCTAACCAGGGGAATCACCTATGTGGGAGCAGAGAAGATCCTGTCTCCTCTGACACCTGCCCTCAAACAGGGCACCCAGGTGTTTACAGACGAGAAAATCAGGAGAAACCAGGACACAGAGCCAAGGAGTGGCCAGGCTGCGAGGCCTTGGGGGAGGACTGCCTTGGTGTCTTTAGAGCAGGGCCGCACCGAGCACAGCATCACCGCTTGCACGGAGACAGGGGGACAGCCAAGAGGGGAAATGGCAGGGGAATCCTCCAGTTCTTCAGAACATCCTGGGGGCCCCACCTGCACATAAACTGTGACGTGCCAAATAAAAATAGACAGAGGAAGACCTGTAGACAGTGGTGGCCAGGACAGAGAGGAGGGAGGGAAGGACAAGTTCTGGGAACTGAAATAGAGCAAACTGCTACACACACGCCTGAGTATGTCAAAATGAACCCCACTATTATGTATAACTGCAATGAGCTAAAAACAAAACAAAACAAAAAATACCTTCAGGAGGCTCCTTGCTTCAAACAGCCTGCAGCCTCACTGGGAATCAGGTGCGCCACACACCTGCAGTCCTGAGAGCCCCTGCCTGCAGGCGTCACCTGGATGCCAGGGTAAGGGGGCTCAGAGATGGAGCGCTCACCGCAGGGTCTGCAGCGCCCCCTGCAGGCCACTCTTCTCCACACCTTTGTCTCACGTCCTGGCTTTCCTTCCTTGGTTTCCAGAAGGACTTCTCAGCTTGAAAGGCAGATTGTGAGGACAGAAGGATGTTTGCTGATTTTCCAGATTGATTAAAGCATGGTTTATTGTAGAAACAACCACAGTAGTGCCCCTCAGAAGAGAAATGGCTGCATGGATTCTGGAACATTCCAACGATGGTGTGCCACACAGTTGTTAAAGCCAGAATGGGGAGCTCCAGGCCTTACGGTGTGGTGCACTGCTGTGTTGGGGCAGGCAGTGGGTGGGGGCATGCAGGGAGGGCACCGTGTCCTCAGAGTCTGGCAGTAGGGAGGGGCACACTGTGTTCTGCTGTCAGCCTGGTCATCTTGTAGGCCGGTACAGAGCACATGGGCTGAGGCAGTGCCTGGCCAGGTGGGTCTTGCTGTCCTGTCCCCACACACACCTTCCTCCAGCCCCAGAGGAGGGCCCAGCCCAACATGCCTGCGCCCCAAGGACCCTCAAAAAGCTGGCACGTCACCCGATGCCTAAGGAAAGGCTGGGAGAACTCTCCACTCCCCAGGGTACTTCCTGGGACAAAACGGGCTCTCCTTTTGTGCTCCCAATCCTAAAAATCTTCTTCCCAGGAAAGAAAGTATGATGAGTGGACAGAAGTCCTGGCCGCCAGCTTGACGGTGGCGGTCTGAACTCTGCCTCCACCACTGACCAGCTCTGAGGCCTTGCGTAAGCTGTCTAACGTCTCTGAGCCTTGGATTCCTCATCTGCAAAATGTGACTGGTAGTAGCTATGTGGCTCTGATGGCAGTGAAATGAGATGACATGTGGGTGGACACTGGACCTCGGACGACCTGTGTCAAGTTCGGGGCTGGAGGCATCCCCACCATCCCCTAATTCCTTCCCAGCAGATCCGACTCCGTCTTAACACCTAACAAGGAATCTGCTTCCTTAGGAACAAGGGCACGTATGGAGGACCACCCTGCTGCTCTACCCGACCTGGGCTCACTGCCCCAGCAGGTCTGAGCTCCAGTGAGTGGAAGAGAAAAGAGGGAGAAGTAGAAATCTGAAAGTAACAATGTTTATTTGGTGTATGGCACATTTCCATAACTGGCATCTAATTTCAGAAACCAAGTTCAAGAAGTTCAAGTCTGCAAAAAAACACAAGCACAACTCTAAGGAGAGCTGCCTGTGGAGACAGGCGGGCAGCCCTGGGTGCGTCAGAACACTCCCATCCCAGGTCTGTCCTGACTCAGCATCCCCACAGAGTGTAACAGCTAAGGGAACAAGTGCCCCGAGGAGCCAATGTTATTTCTGAACATATAACATATATGTCCCTGTGTGTGTCACTCTTCTAATGGTGCACATCTCCTGGTGGGCAGCCGCTCTATATCCTAAGGTAGCATGGCTAAGTCCAGGTAGGGCTCTCCATGAATCATTATAAAAACAGATAAATAATTACCCATTAGGATTATCAATCACAGTTCACACGCTGTCTGCAAAGTCGCTTGCATTGATGTTTGCTTTGGGGCAGGAACAGGGGAAAGATTAAAGAGGGTGTCCAGGGGTAAAAGGTAGCGATTCTCCTCCACTGGGCTACCATCAGGCACCTACAGGGCTACGGAGTGCAGAGAAGCCAGGGGAGGGGAGGCACACCTGGCAACTTCAGCCCTGGGGGAGCACGGCACTGCCCAAATGGTCCACTGTATTGGGAATCTGGTGATAGGATCTTCTGCCACTGTTTCTCACTTGGCCAGTGAGTAATGATGAGATATTTATGATTAAGTTTTGGAGTCCATATTCAAAAGGTCATGGAGAAGAGACCCCAGAGATCACAATGACAGAAGTGTAAAAAATACAAAGTTTTAAGAAGCAAATTGCCACCATTGTCCATAAAAATATTTTCAGAAAAACCAAACTGTGGTATCATCCGATTCAGAGGCACCCTAGGACCTCCACAAGCCTGTCATCTCCTAACTTCCCGTCAACCCCTGGTGCGTCTACCAGCTGGAGATGTAGGTCGGGCTCCCCTAAGATGCGAGCTGTTTTGGCAACTCCTGCCGTGGACGAGCCTGCAGCTCCCCCACTTGGCAGTTTTCGTGACGCTCCAGGAGCCTGCTGGGCACACTGCCCTGCTAGGACAGGGCCCCAGGCGTGCCTGCATCTGGCAGATGGAGCACCAGCAGGAAGGGCCTGGCCGAGTGTCCTTCAGGGGAGACTCGGGGCACTGAGGAGGCCCCCAAGCAGGACACGAGGGCGGGTCCTGCCTCACTGCTCCCGGCCGAGCCTTGTCAGCACCTCTGCCAGCTCACCACGTCAGGGTGAGGGGCTCCCAGGTGTCCAGAGACCAGGTCTGATAATGTCACACGAACACCATCTCTGCCTGTGGGCATGTTTAAGTCCGTGTCGAGGTACAGACCCGGGGCACCTGAAGGGACGGGCAGACCCTCTCTTACGTCCATTCAGCAGAGACACTCACAGGAGGACGGGCCACCCAGCCAGAGGAACCCTCCCGGATTCACCTTCTGTACAGTGTGGCCCCAAGATCTCAGGGGCAGAGAGGCTGTTGCCAAACCATGATCCCCAGTGACAGTGACACCCCTGCACCTGTGCCCACGTCCTGGCTGTGGACCTGAAAGGGGTGACCAGAAAGGCGAGAGGCTGGGCAAGTGAACCCCTCGGCGTGGGAGGCCCTTCAAGGAGAAGGGCGAGGCCCCGCCGAGGCCCCAGGGCGTGACAGACGAGGGTGCTTTGTGCTTCCTTCCCGTCCTGCCTCTGCCGGGGGAGCCCGGGCTCTGCCCCAGTGCCGGGACTGCCTCACCTGGGGGATGCGGGAGCCCGTGGGCGTGGGTGGGATCTCCTTTTGATGCCAGGGGACTATTTTTGAGGACAGGAGGCATCCCAACCCTGGCCCCTGTTCACACCATCAGCCTCACACTCCTCAGGCCAGGCGTGCTGCCCTGCTGGCCGCGGGCACGCTGGGCGGGCACCGAAACCTGCTGGAGGGACGCTCCGAGGGGCACGTTGAGAGGCCACAGGAGGAGGAGCGGCGGCTGAGGAAGACAGAAGGAGAAAGGGGAAAAGAGAGGACGGCCGGAGGCAGACTCGGAGGGAGGACAGCCTGGGCCTCAGCCTCCTCCTGCCGGGGTTCTTTTTTTTTTCCTTTATTCTCCTTTGTTTGTTTGCTTGCTTGTTTTTGTGGTGCTGAGGATCCAACCCAGGGCCCCACACACGCTGGCCAAGCCCTCGCCACTGAGCCCCAGCCCAGCCCCATGGAAGCCTGGATCTTGGTCCGTGGTCCCCCCTCACCAGGCTTCACGTCCACACTGCCACTTACCCACGGCCAGACACAGTCCACAGATGCTGAAGACAAGGCGTCTGTGATGGTGCACTGATATGATTGTTCTGTTGTTGGTTGGTAATCTCTCACTGTGCCTAATTTATAGATAAAACTTAATCCTGGGGGTTCATGGTCCTATATATAGGGTTCTTCTTACGTGCAATGTCAGCCACCCTCTGGGGGTCTCAGAATGTACCCCCCAGGACAGGGGGTGCCACGGTACATGCTGAATCGAGCTTGCAAAGGTGAAATCCAACTGCTGTAGGGGTGTGGGGCCTCTTTCTTCCCTGCTCCCAGGGAGTTTCCCAAGGAGGGACAGCCCCAAATGCAGGCACCAGAGGCTGCTGGGTGGCGGAGGGGGGTTATCTGTGATGCCAAGGGCTGGAGGGACCATGACTGCAGTGTTAGAGCAGCGGGCATCCCAGAGAGCAGCGGGGAGAGGGGGCAGCAAACTGAGAGCCACGAGCACACAAGTTGTGTGCATCCACCTGGGGTGCTGCCCTTCGTGCCCATGTTCCCTCCCTCCCTGCCCTTAGAGGGCTGCACGGACCCCTGTGTGTGGCTGCCATGACCTTGCCCAGCCTGCTCTCTGTCCTAGAGGTGAGAATGAGTCCAGTTTGAAAGCCCAGGTGTAAGCCACTGCTGCCCTTGGAAAGTGAACATTTCAGGCACATCATCTGGACAATACGCCAGGAGCCGGGAGCTAAGGCAGCACCTGTCCCCACTCCTGGTCCCGCTCACCCTGACTTGGGGCCCAACCTCCCAAGGGCTGCCTCCCCCCAGCAGCTTCTCAGCAGAGTCTGGGCCTGAGCAATGGATTTCCTGCAGCACTAGAGCAGCCAGCAGGGACGTCCTCTGCTGGAATGTCCCTGGGTCCTGGGGGTGGAGACCCTGCAGTGGTGCAGAGGACCGAGGGCAGGACCAAGGGGCAGGACAGCTGGGCAAGCCCAAATGGGCTGCTGCGTGTAGGACCATCGCTCCAAGCCTGGAGCTGGTCTGGCACACTTTGGGGTGGGGGTCCCGTGAACCCAGCAGGAGATGTGGGCGAGGATTCTTGGAGGACAGTAGGGAATCTCACACCCGGAACAGTCCACGTAGAACCTGTCCAAGGGGGAAAGGGGACCACAGCAGAGGTGTCATCAGGAAATGAACAGAGCTCTCTCCAGGGGGCAAGGAGATTCCAAATACAACCTCAGCCTCAATTCACTTGGCAAAACCCAACCAATCACTTGAAACATTTGACACTGAATGCAAGTAAAAAGTTTTATACAAAATATTTTATTAGCAGTCTTTATTCCTTAAAATTATCTGACTTTCTCTTCATACACTCTACACCTCCCTCTGCCCACTGGGTTTTGTTTGACGTCTTGTCCCGACTTAGCTGGCGTCAGACAGAAGCCTTGGCAGGTCAGGACCACACTCTCCCCATCTGCAGCAGGCACGAGAGGAGAGAAAGCTCTCTTTCCTTTTGGGGTGAAGGCAGTGAGGGCTCAGAGACCACCTTGCTACTGAGATGAAGAATGCCACAGAATAACACTAGCAGACACGCACCTGGAGCAGGTCTGCACGCCAGCACGTTCCCGTGCACACATGTGCACGGATGTCTGTAGACACACACAGCCACATCAGCCCCGTCGAGCCCCAGTCCCTGCAGGGGGGCTGTGCTGGGACCAGGCAAGGGCAGGGTGGTCCCTCTCCACTGAGACAAGCTGACAGCAGCCCCAGGCCGGCCAGCAACGCCCAAATGGCACTGGATATAAGGCCCTCAAAGGAGAGAGAGGCAGACCTCCCTCACCTCAGCCATCTGCTTGGCAAGACGCGTAACTGACCGAGTATCTGCTGATGTACTGTTGCACTTATACTTGCCGAAGCGACTCCGGTACATTTGCATGTGACGAACAGGAGGCAGCAGAGCAAAGTAAAAAGCAGGGACATGGGGTCGGCCCGAGGTTCCAGCCCCCTCTGCTCTTCCTAGCTCCGGGGCCGCAGCACAGCCTGGCCTCTCCAGCCTCAGCTTTCCTCACCTGCAAGGGGGCGGAGCCTCCAGGCACAGCCAGGGGTGGCCTGGAGCTCCCTCGGCCGGGCCCAGGACAGCACCAGGCCGTGGCTGGATCAGGGGAGATTTGATGCAGGAGCAAAGGAACAGAGGGGCCCGCAGGGCGGCTGGCTCAGCACATGGCACCCTGGGCTCTGCCCTCTGACACCCACGAAGGTGGCTGCTACCTCGTGGACACTGACCACGCCTGACCTCCAGTGGGGAAAACGACCCTCTGTGGGCTCGACATGAGTTTTCACCTAAAACCCTCATGGTGGCTGCCCTGGTCCTGAAGGTGCCCCCAGGTGGCGGGGTCATATTCGAGCCCCAGCTCTGTCAGGTGCTCCAGGGCTGCTCCCCTCCCTGGGGACAGGCCTGCCCACTCAAAGGAACTTGAGAGGGGCTTAACTGTCTGCTGATGTCCAGCAGAGTAGAAGTGGAGAAGTGGGGGCTGTGGACTCTCAGACGAGGTGGGGAGCAGGGGAGGGATGTTACAGCCAGAAGTCACCAAAGGCATCAGACGCGGGGCGCTGTCTGGGTCACATCCCGGCACAGGAACGAGCGCTGTCATGCAGCTTGACCGCCATGATTTAGAAACACAGCTGGCTGCTTGGTTGCTGTCCTACCTAGCTCACGGGGGCAGGTATTCACAAAGCATCCGGGAACACAAGGTCAGCAGGGTGACAGGGAGACCCACAGTACCGGACACGCACCTGGAGCAGGTCTGCACACCAGCACGTTCCTGGTGCGCGTATGTCTGTAGATACACAGCCACCCTGGGAGAGGGAGGGCACCGGGAGGGGGCACCGGGAGGGGGTGGAAGGCCTCTGGCCTGCCTGGCTGCCCTCTCAGGACTGCAGGGAAGGGGCCAGCAACACTGTGCTGAGGGATGGGTGCCTTTAAAATAACCCTGTCACAGTTGGCATGTGCCTTCCCTTCCAGCTGCGGACAGCCCGAGATCTGTCCCAGAGATCTGTCCCTTGGAAGGACCCCAATCAGATCCTTATTTATTAAGGGAAAAATAATCTGTCACAGTGGAAATTGGAAATGGGGAAGCAGAATCCCTTCAGAGGGCTTTGGTGCTCTTGGGAAACAGATTCTAAATCTAGAGGAACCTCAGGATCCCTTCTGAACTTGCCGAGGTGTGGCACTGCAGTCTCAGGCTCTGCAAGAAGGGAGCTGTCTTTGGAGCACATGTCCTGTGGCCCTATGGCGCTGCCCCTTGCAGGAAGGCTCCATGAGCGCCGGGGGTGGGGGTGGGGGTGGGGGCTTCTGGGCTGGCCCCGCCTGGGGGTCTCTGAGGCTCTACACAGGGCTTTCGCTTTTCCAGCTCCATTCCCAGGCCTCACCTGTGTGCAACGTCTCACACTTGAAATCAAATGAAGACTTTTATAAAGGCAAAGTTTGACCCTGGTTACAAACTGAATCTAGAAGGCCATATCTGTATAGAACAAGCAAACTTAAAACTACACTTTACTTGCATTTCAATTGGATTTACTAAAAAAGATCAAGGAGTGAAAAAAATAAAAAGACTCTCTAAGCATTTTCCAACCAGATGCACGTGGAAGTAAAATCCAGACACGTTCCATTCTCTACCAGCAGGGAACGAAAGCTTTGGGGCCACGAGTGAGGGACCTCAGAACCTTCTGGAGCTGGAAGGGACCTGGCGCATGGTCTGGTGCAATTATTTACAGGCGAGGACACTGGCTCAGAGAGGTTAGCGACCTGCCCACGCAAAACACAGCCTTCACAGGAGAGGGCTCTAGCACAGATGTTCTGGAAAAAGAAGGGTCTCACGGCACCGCCCCCTCTGGTCCAGCTGCTCCCCTCACCAGCTGCTCCAGCTGACTCATCTCCCCAGGCCACAGCTGCAACTGCCCTAAGCTCAGCCTCCCAGGTTCTGCGGAGGTAGATGGTGTGGGAGAGGAACCAGGAGGAGACCTCTTTAGAAATCAACAGGGGTTATCTTCTACACAATATTTTTTTCTTTTTTAGGAAAAATGAAGGTGGTCAGAAAGTTAGGAAGAAACGATCTAGTCTGCTTAAAATAAGAAGCACATGGGAATGAAAAGGGCTTGCAAGAGGTGGCCACCTGGTCCTACAGCTGTGGTCAGCTGGGCAGTGCTGCCTGGGGAGTGGGGTGGTGTGGAGCCACTCCTCCTGCAGTGGCACCTGCACCTTTCACGGGCTCCCCCTGCAGCCGACCCACTCTGGCATCAGGCTGAACCCCGGTACCTCTACACAGAGCGTGGAATTTACCCTGGGTAAGTCCTCAGCAAGTGCTAAAAAGATACAGTTTCTTAAAATGAATGCAATTTATCAACTTTTGGCTGGAAAAGTGACTCTGATGGAGAAGAGATAAACCTCAGGAAGATGACCTTAGAAACCGCAGTCCTAATGTGGGGTCCTGCCCTCGCACTTCCTGCCCCAGGACATCCAGCTCCCAGGCAACCTTCAGGGAGGACAAGCGTCACCGGGCCTCAGGAAGAGCCTTTCCACGGGAGCCCCTCGTCACCAGCTGTGGCGGTTTTAAATCCTGTGTGTAAAAAACAAACCTTTCTACATCTTCCTAGTTACAGCTAGAAAAGGTGATGGAGAGAAGAACCGACCCAGCCGGGCGGAGGAGCAATCTCAGAGCCCTCCAGCCCGCATGGTCTCCAGTCTCGTCTCGGGCGCAGGCCGCGCGGCGACTCAGGGCCCTTGGCCACATGTCTCGTTTGCTCCTTGCAGCCATCCGGGGCTTTTACCTCTCTGCCTGGATCTTGTACCGCAGGACAAAATAGGCGATGAGGCGCAGGGAGATGAAGAAAACCCCAAGGACGATGAAGTCCAGGTACAGCTTGGCGTTCTCCACGTCCAGCTCGCGCAAGATGGCCTCCGACTTCTGGAAGTGGCAGGTCTCGTCGATGTCGCAGTGCAGGTCCTCTCGGTCCAGCCCGTAGATGGAGAGGATGACGCCCTCGAAGCCATACCTGGGGAGGAAAGCGCCGGCATGGGGCCGCCCGCCTGCTCAGCCACTCCCAGGCCAGTCTGCTGCCGGACGCCCCGCAGGCCTCCAGACCCCCACAGCTTTCTTTCCGGAAGCTTCTGAGCTTCTCAACAGTGCCATGAGCTGAGTCCAAGAAACAGCCCCACTAGGCTTCTTCCCAATTTTGTTTCCTCCAGCAAAACGCAACGGGATGAGCAGATGCACCCACTTAGTGGTTAATGAGCTGACGGACACTGGATTCCTTCCAATACTGCGCACCTTTTAATGGTTAGATGTGACCGGGGGCTGGGCACCCTGGCCTGGACATACAAGCACTTGGATAAAACGCTGTGTACCCTCTGTGGCTCTGTGCCCGCCTCACCCAGCCAGAACAAAAACACTCATTTTCAGAATACAGACCAGGCCTCTGGTTTGCTCGGCTGCACACACGTGTTTGGGGAAAGCCTTCTGCGGGGCTTTGTGTCGGCTTCCTTCTCCTGAACAACGCACCTGGGTCTGGGCTGACCTTTCAGAAGAGCAGCACTTGTGCCCAGCTCGGACTGTGTGTGTCACCTGGACTGGCTGCAGTGGGGGCGGGTGAAGCTCTAAAGTTGGGCACTGTCCACAGAAGGGCCACATGCCAAGAGCCATTCAGAAACCACGGTCCCTGGGCCTGAGGCTCTTGTGCAGTGACGCTGGGATGTTTGCAAGATGACCTGTTCCCCAGTGGATTTCCTCTTAACATTTACCAGCCACCAGGACCCTGTTGTGACTCTTTCCAAGTAAAATACAGAAGCCGCCCAAGGTGGCTCCCAGACACACCCGAATATGAGGGCACACAGGGGCTTCTCCAGGGTCTGACGTCCCTGCTCTGTGTGTGCATTCGTGTGGGTGCATGTGTGTGCGTGTGCATGCACGTGTGTGTGCAGGTGTTGGTGAGGGTGAGGCATACCCTCACCAAACTAGGAAATGAATGAAAGGCACAGACGCCCCTTCTCTGGGATGCGCTTGGCTGGCAGGCACAAAGTGGCCTCTGTGAACACAAGCTCATTAGCAGTGATGTGACCCTGTCACTTCACATCCTCCCTGCCACTGCCCACGCTACCTGACGTAGGAGATGTAGGACATCCACTGCAGGTACGTCGGGATGGTGTCGAAGCTGACGAAGAACCCTGAGAACAGGAGGACTGGGATGGCCGTCACAGGACCCACGAACGTCGCCACCTGGGGACAAGGCAGGGACACAGGACTTACTGGGGGAAACTGGGGAGTCCTCCTGAGTTCCTGCACAGTGGCCCTGAGGACAGTCATCCTTGGCTAGAAGATGAGCCCCAAAGGGCCAGAGTGGGAGCAGGCCGGCAGCAGAGAGCATGGCCTCAGGGCCGGGGCTGGTCTCCTGCAGGGCCAGGGGCTGGTCTCCTGCAGAGTGGCTTGCCCAGCCCGGCTGAGGAGGGGAGTGGGAGGGAAGCATCCTCCAGCAAGGTGGCCAGTGTTTTCTGGGAAGGCGACCAGCGTGCCTGAGGGGGGCAGGCCTGCACCATCCCTGGAGCTGACCCCTGGGTGGTATCTCTGTCTCTGGGGACCCTCTTTGGGACACCTCAGTCTCTAAGCCAGGCTGATGCCAGGTCCCCTGCAGGTCCCACTAGAAGACACCCTCCTCAGGGGGCAGCTGAGGACAGTGCCTGCTCACCAGGTCCTGAGGGCAGGGCTCCAGCCTCTCCCAGGTATGGCACGCCTAGGGCTGTCACCACCTGGGTGACAGCAGCACAGCACAGTGGCTTGACTTACAGTCCACTCACAATCCACCGGGGGCAAGTATGCGTGCAAGTGTGGTGTGACAAGTATGTGTGGGTATGTGTGGTGTGTGCAAGGTGTGTGTGTGTGGGGGGGTGTGGTATATGGTGTATATGTGCATGTGTGTTGTGCTGTGTGTGGTGCAAGGTGTATTTGGTTGTGTGGTATGAGGTATGTATATTTATAGTGTGGTACGTGTGCTGTGTGTCATGTGTAGTGTGTGTATGTGCAGCATGTGGTATGAGTGGTATATGCACCTGTGGCATGTGTGTGTGTTGTGTTATATATGTGTATATCTGTGGTATGTGTAGAGCATGTATCTATGGTGTGTGTAGTGTATGTGGATACGTGGTGTGTGTAGTATACGTATCTGAGGTGTGGTGTGTATACATGGTGTGTATAGTGTATGTGTATCTGTGGTTGTGTGTGTGTGTGGTGTGTGTGTGCATTTGTGATATGTGTGTGGTGTGTGTAGTGTATGTGGATACGTGGTGTGTGTAGTATATGTATCTGTGGTGTGGTGTGTGTGTGGTGTGTATACATGGTGTGTATAGTGTATGTGTATCTGTGGTGTGTGTATGTGTGTGTGATGTGTGTGTGCATTTGTGGTGTGTGTGTGGTGTGTGTAGTGTATATGGATACGTGTGTATATGTATATATGTGTGTATACGTGGTGTGTATAGTGTATGTATACTGTGGTGTGTGTAGTATATGTATCTGTGGTGTGTGTGTGCATTTGTGGTGTGTGGTGTGTATCTGTGATGTGTGTAGTGTATGTGCATATGTATTGTGTATAGTATATGTGAGTGTATCTGCGGTGTGTGTAGTGTATGTGTATTTCTGGTGTGTATGGTGTGTATCTGGTGTGTGTGTATGTGTGCATTTGCAGTATGTGTGGCGTGTGTGTGGTCTTTATCTGTGGTGTGTGTGTGATATGTATATCTGTGGTGTGCATGGTGTATGTGTGATGTGAGTGTATCTGTGGGGTGTGTGTATCTGGTGTGTTTACTGTATGTGTGTATCTATGGTGTGTATCTGTGGTATATATGGTGTGTATCTAAGGTGTGTGTGTGTGCAACATGTGTGTATCTGTGGTGTGTGTGTATATTGTGTGTGTACTGTATGTGTGTATACTGTATGTGTGTATCTATGGTGTGTATCTGTGGTGTGTGTGTGTGGTGTGACATGTGTGTGTATCTGTGGTATGTGGGTGATGTGTTGTGTATCTATGGTGTGTGTGACATGTGTGTGTATCTGTGGTGTGTGTACTCTATGTGTGTTATCTATGGCGTGTATCTGTGGTGTATGTGTGTGACATGTGTGTTATCTGCACTGTGTGTGTGTGACGACTGTGTGTATCTGTGGTGGGTGTACTCTATGTGTGTTATCTGTGGCGTGTATCTGTGGTGTGTGTGTGTGTGACATGTGTTATCTATGCTGTGTGTGTGTGACGTGTGTGTGTGCCTGCAGTGTGTGTGTGTGTGTGTGTGTGTGTGTGGTGGGTGTCAGGGGGCATCCTGACCCAGGTGGCCTGGCGGGTGCGTGCAGGGCTGTGGGTGGAGCTGCCCTGGGTGTGGCCGGCCCTGGAGCAGGACACTGTGGTCCAAGGGCCGGCAGCAGGGCTGCGCGGGATCCTGAGGCAGGCTGCCTGGAGGGCGAGAGGCAGCAGGAGGCCTGGGCAGCTTGCTGGGCAGCAGGTGAACTGGATAGAAAATGCTCCTGAGGTGCGGGAGGCGCCCAGCTGGCGTGAGTGGGAGCCGTGGGGAGGTGCAGTGTCCCCAGAGGGCGGGAGGGGAAGCCAGGCCTCTGGGGGCTGGGCCAGCGTGGCAGGCTCAGAGTGTGCCCTCAGCGCTCAGGGCCATTTAGAGGAGGGGGTACAGGTGTCCCTGTGGCCTGGCTGGGGCGGGCGCCTAGCACCTTCTCTGCAGTGTCATCTTTCACCCTTGTCACAACGCCACGAGGCGGACACCACCGCTATCCCACCCACAGGCGAGGAGACAAAGGCCCCAGAGGCTAAGCCGCTGCTGGCGGTGGACAATCCAGGAACTGTCCGGGACCTCAGGGCCTCTCATTCCCAAGGATAGGACTGGCCCGAGACCCTGAGCCGGAGGTGTGGTTTGGCAGGTCCAGGGGGGTGGAACCAGGCTTCTTGAGACAACAGGGATGGGGCGGGGTGGGGAGCAGGTGCATGTAAAGGGGGGTGTCCCAGGGATGACTGAGTAGCGCAGACCCAACCACGCTGCAGGGACTGGGGGCGTGGCCTGGAGCCAGCTGTGTGACCCCCAACAAGTCCCTTTGCCTTTCTGGGCCTTAGTCTCCCCACCCGTAAAATGGTGTGTTTGGGACTAAGTGAGCTAAGGTCTAGCAACAGTGGAGAGGCATGGCAGCATGCAGCAGGCGCTCCATAAGTGCCCATGCTGTAGCCACTGTCTGCTGTCAGTGCACCTCTCCTGGCCACCCAGGACAATGCCTTCCTCCCCTTGGGACCAACCTGGTCAGGGCAGAATTCAGAGGAAGGTCTCAGGGAGGGTGGGAGCCCCACCCGGGCAGCGGGGCCAGGCAGGCTGGTGGAGGGAGCCCACCCGCAGCGCTGCTCTGCAGGTACCTGCAGGGACGTGGAGGCCGCTCCGATCAGCAGGCCTAGAGACTGAGCCACGAGGGAGGTCATGGTGCCCAGGGCAGCAAAGAGGACGAAGCGCACAGCGTCCGACGGCTGCGAGGTCATCCAGTACACGATGCTGCAGTAGGCCACGGGGAACATGACCTGGGGACAACAGAGCCCGTCAGCCCTGGACAGCCCCACCTGCTTCCAGACCTCCCACCCCCGGCCCTGCCTCCAAAGGACAGCCCGCGGACACACCTGGAAGGGGACGTCGGCCATGGTCTTGGCCAGGTAGTAGGCCTTCAGGCTGTACCAGTAGTTCAGGTGTTCCCGAAGGAAGACGCCCATCTCCAGGGGAACTAGGGGACCACGCAGAAGAGAGGGTCACACGGCAGTCCCCACAGCACCTCGGGCTGAGCCACGGGCGCTCAGCACAGCACCTGCCTGCACCCGGCCTCTCCAGGCTCAGCACAAGATGAAGGGCTTGGCAGCCTGGGGAAATCGCCAGCCCTCCCCGAGCCACAGTTGTGGTGAACAGGGCGGTGAGGAAGACCCCGCCTAGCTCTTGCTCCCGCCACCACCTGGGGCCCACTCAGGCTGCCCATCCCGTGGGCTGAGGGCACACTGCTCTTGGAGACTCAGGGCAGCTCAGGCAGGACGCCTGTGTATGTGGGTCCTGTGGGGCACCAGCTGTCCACCATGCAGCACAAGATGGTCAAGAGCAGGCTAGAATCGCCTGGAATTCCATCCCAAAGCACCTGTCCATCCCAAAGCACGCGTCCCAGGCCATGCCCACACTGAACTGCACGTGCTTACGTAGCTGAATGTGAGGGCTCCGGATTAGTAAACCCTAGGGAAATGTCCCTCCACCTCCGTCTACTGTATCTGACCGTCTTCCATTAGAGATTCGGTCCTTTGGCGTAAACACCGTATTTTGGTGTCTAACAGCAAATACAATAAAACCTGCATCTGTCCACATATAAATGGACTTTGAAGAAACAGGACCCTGTGTTCAGAGAACCCATCTACTGGTCAGGCTGGCCCTGGCCCCCACTGCTGGGTAGGAATCCAGGGACCGGAGGGCGGGGCGAGGGCATCACTCACAGGTCAGAACGGTGGGCATGAGGGCGGCAAACATGAGAAAGAGCATGGAGAAGAAGAGGAAGCCAGAGTTGCTCAACACCTTCTTGGCTTCATTCCCGATGCCCAGGTAGAGCAGGCCAATGAGGAGGCCGATCCCGATGTGGGAGGTGATCCGCAGGTGCGTCAGGACCTGGGCGGACATGGACCTTACCCTGTGCAGGAGCCTGGCTTCTGGGCTGGGGGTCTTACGTGCCATCCCCCCGGCCCCAGGGAAACAAGCCCTCGCCCTTGCCCAAGCCACAGGCGTGTCCCGCGCGGCCAGCTCTGTGGCGTTAGGGAGTGCTGACTACCATATTCACTTCTCCTCGAGGCCAGATAACAGGAAGGGGCCAGGGCAGCGGGGAGAGCAGGCTGGGGATCGGTAGGCCTGCACCGCAGACCACGGGCTGCGCACCTGCCTCTCCCAGCCAGGTGGCCAGCCTGTCCACTTACACGGCTGGTGTTATTAGGGCTCCCACTCACCCGCTCCTTCCCTACCAGGGGCCGCTGACCCACCCAGTGCTCACACCTTGGGCTGCTCTTCTGAAGGGGTGCACTCCCCCTCCACCCTGATGGGGGCTCGGCCACCTGGCCTGTTTGGACCATGAGCACCAGTGACCACTGCTGCCCCCTTGCTTCCCTCTTGCACTGCCCCCTCTGTGAGGCTCCAGGAGGACAGTCCAGATGGGAGCTGTTCCTCCGTCCCCAGCCCCAGCACAAGACAGATGGGGCTGAGCCGCCACCCCCCGTCAGCACCAGGCAGACATGCGCTGGCTCATGTGGACAGGCGTCTTGGGATTGTCGGTCACCACATTGACAGACAGCAGTGACAGATGCAAGTGGCAGGAAAGCCACCTGGAAGCTGGGTCCAGAGAAGGGCCCGCACAGGCCCAGAGGACGCTCTTACCGAGTCCCTCATGATGCTGAGGAAGGTCCTTCTGAAGAGGATGCAGAACTGGGTGAGGCAGCTGGCGGAGAAGCTGTGGCAGCCCTCCATGGAGGCAGAATCCTGGGGACACGGCGGAAAGGGCACTGGTGAGCCCCCAGACCGCCACGTCTCCACGCGAAGCAGGGGTACCCGCGTGCGGGGGGGGGGCACCCTGGGCTCTGGGGCCTGCGTCACCTGTCCCCATCCCGTCAATCCATTTGCCTGCTTTACCTCTTCGGGGGGCCGGTGCCAGAGGAAGGGGTTCACCTCGGCGTCCCCCGCGAGGTCTCTCTTGTAGTCGGAGTCGCACAGGCCCTCCCGCACTGCTCTCACCAGGCGGCCGTTCTGATCGCCGTACTCGCCCGAAGCCACCTCCATGACTGCCGGGACACAGGAGGGGGTTAGACCAGGCCCGGGACAGGTGTGCCACCGCAGGACGGGGACCGCAGGCTCCCTGGGGCCTGTGGGAGGGCTAGGCAGTATCCCAGCAGTCCCGGAGACGCCCCTGGTGACGGCAGTGTCGGAGGCCACATCGTTCACCAGTCGGCACCCGGCCCTCAAAGCCCCAGCATGGCTGTAGGACGTCGGCAGGTGGACAGCAGGGTCAGGGGGCCTGGAAAGCCCGGCTAGGGCCTTACTCCCCCAGCTCACTGAACGCCTGCCCAGCCACACCCTGCAGGCGGCAGGCTCCTCTGCAAAGAGCTCACCTGGGCCGTGTACCAAGCCCACGGAGTCCCAGGAGACCACGGAGGAGGAACGCCCACCACCGCATGGTGTGCTGGGTGCCCGAGGCCATGGGACAGCCACCCGTACCCTCAGGTCCTGGTGCGGTGTCACCCCAGCCTCCCTCCCCCAGCGTCCAGGCTTGCTTGGTCGAGCCCCCTTCTGCCCCAGCCTCCTCTGCTCACCCCACTCCTGGGCAGAGGCCTCGGCACTCTCCAACCCTCTGCTCCCCAACTTCCTCCCTGTGCCCTGCCCTGGTTCCCACTGGACACCATCCCGCCTGATGCCCAAAGCTCCCTGTCCCCGGAAGTCTGCTCTCTTCCTAGGCTGGAAGCTGGGTGCCAAGCACTCCCACATAAAACCCTGCGTCAGGCCATGCTGGGTTGCCAGGCAAGGTCTCCAAGCTCCAGCTGTCCCTCACCCACCCGGGGCCACAGCCCTGGACTGCCCTCTCAGCAGAGCACCCTGAGGGAGCACCTTGTCTCCCAGGGCCTCTGCACCCTCCCGGGGGCCCATTTCTTCTCCTCCGTCGCCCTTCCTCTGCAAGCTCACCTCCATGCAGGCTTTGGGTCTCACCTCCCCTCCCCTGCCCACCTGTCCCTTCTCTCCCGTGGAACTCTCGTTCATAAACTATGGACTATAAACTGGTTCCACCACGGCTTCTAAAAATGCTCAAGCCTTCCCTCTGATCAGAGCTGTCCCTCACCTCTCGCTTCCTCCCAGTGTCCCTGTCTCCCTGTCTCTCCCCTCCCGCGCCATCGCAGCCTGCCCCTCGGGAGTGAGAAGCATTCCCAGGAGCAGTGCTTGCTAAGCCTAACTTGGAAATAGTGCCACGGCAGTCATGGGATTCCGGGGCGTAAGGCCAGAGATCTAAAGAAATATGACTGAGAGAGAGGCTGAGGCGGGAAGACCAGGGGGGATGTCCACCTGGAGCCTCAGTGTGACCTGGGGAAGGGTCTTCGCAGGGGGTCAGTCATGGATTTGAGAGGAGTTTATCCTGGATGTAGGGTGGGCCCTAACTCCAGGGACCAATGACATCATGAGGTGAGGACACAGAGCTGGCCATCAGATGTGTCCACCGGGAGACGAGGAAACTCCTTTGTTCTCGACAAATTCCACCCAGAGGGCCCTGAGCCACCTGAGGGATAGTCGAGCAATTCCTCAGATCAATGTGAAGCCCCTCCTCCCATCTGGTCTGGGCGCCACTCACCAAAATCTGCTGGGTTGTGGTAGGTAGGGCAGCTCAGGCCCAAACCCCTCAAGTACGGCACCAGGTTGGAGACCTTCCCCCGGTACACACATTGTCCTTGACTGAGGACGTAAAGCTGTGGACGGTGAGGAAAGAGAAGGCATCCATTGGCCTTGATGACCACAGCGGCAGAGGCTTCCCGTCAGCCAGTCAGCAGACACCCAGGACTCATGGGAGGGAGTGTGCGACCTGCCTCAACCTGGCTGGGAGGCCGGGGTGGGGGTCTGGGGCAGGGGTCCAGGGTGGGGGCTAGGAGGGGCCCAGGCAGTAGCTGGAAGGGGTCCAGGAGGGTGCTGGGAACGCATACCTGGTCGAAGAGCTCAAAGAGCTTGGCGCTGGGCTGGTGGATGGTGCAGACGATGGACCGGCCTCCCTGGGCCAGCCCCTTCATCAGGGACACCACCTGGAAGCAGGAGGCACTGTCCAGGCCGCTGCAAGTCAAGGGTACCATAAGACACTGGGAAGCAGGGACAGCCCGCTGCCCCAGGTCCTGGAGGGGCTGGGAAGCCGCTGCCATGGAGGCACGGGCCAGAGCTGCCCCTGCAGGTCCTCAAGGTCAGGCTCTGCTCCGCCGCAGAGCTGCAGAGTGGGGCCACAGCAGAGTGTCCTGCGTGCTACTAGGGGACCAGCAAGTCTTGCTGAGGAACCTGGGTGGGGGACAGGGGGTCCCCACCCGTCTTGGGAGGGGGACTGCAGAAGTGTAGTTCCGAGAAGCATTCTGGGTAGCAGTTGCCATCCCCTGCCCCTGGGCCCACTGGGGGCAGCACTGGGGATGGGTGTCGGCCACAGAGGGGTGGCTGTGGGGCACCTGGGCCGGGGTACACTCTGTCAGGTGCTTCACTGAACACAGGGGGTCTTCCATGGGCTCACCATGGGCTCTTTTCCAGAAGGTTCTGGGGTGACCTCTCTTCTCCTTCCCCTTCTCAGTGCCCCAGCCCTATGCACTCCTGCTCCTGTCCCTGCACTCCTCAGGACAGGGCAAGGGCAAGGAGTGTGTGCCCGGCAGCCCCTCGAAGCTCGCTCTCCCAGGACAGGCAGCCTCCTGGAGGAGAGCTGAAGGCTTCTTTGCTTCGCTTTTTCTCAAACACCTTTAGGGAGCTGCCTTAGGTACCACCCGCTGAGGGCGGGCACGGGGCTGGGCTGAGCGGACATGGTAGATGTGCCCTTCCCTGCAGACAGCCCAGGCTGCTATCAGGACCTGCTGGCCTTTGGAGAGGGGAGCGAGCAGGCAGGAAGGAGGTGACATAAAATCTGGTTCAAGAGCAGCCCACCTGAACCCTGAGGCTCATTCTTCTGGGGACACTTGAATATGATGTGACTAGGAAGAGGCGGCCCAACTCATTGCCTATGGCTCCAGAGCCAGCATCTCCCCACAGCCTCAAACCTAAGGGGGCATCCCCAGGACTGGTGTCAGGGCTCACTGGCATGGAGTCGGCAAGCCACTCACGGTGGGCTTCCTCCCTGTGGGCTCCTCTGAGCCGCTGAAGAGCTAATGCAGTGGCTTCCAGGACACCCGGAGGGCCTGGCCAGGGTGGCTGTGCACAGGGAACTCCGTGTCACGGGAGAGACGGGCACGTTTCCCTCAGACCGGCTCCCACCATCAATGCACGGCACAGGGCCGAGCACATGTGTGTCTGAGCAGTGGACAGTGAAGCAGCCGCTCCGTCAAGCGCTCAGAGTCCCTGCTGCGCCCAGGCAGGAGGGACGGGCAGGGTCCCTGTAAGAGCAGGCTGGCTCTGGCTTACCTGGTGGGCTCATCAAAGAACATGACTGGAGGGTTGTTGACCAGCTCCAGTGCGATGGCCAGGCGCTTCCGCTGGCCGCCCGATAGGCTCCCCGTCCGGGTGTTGGCGCAAGACAGCAAGCCAAGTGCCGTCAGGATCTCCTTGACCTGGGGAAGGTAGAACCAAGGCCCCCTTAGGAGCTGCCCTCCTGGTCTCTCTGCTCACCGGGGCCCACGTGCAAAGCCTGCCTGCTGCCCACTCTGCTGGACACATCAGCAGTCCACCCAGGGACCTGCAAACCGGAGCCACCCAAGTGAGCAGCACCTCCAAGTTCATGGACAGTGCTGACTTTGGCCAGGGAGGCCGTGCTGCCCAGAGGCTGAGACGTGGAGAGGGCCTGAGTCCTCACTTCACTCAGCCTTCAGCAGGTGACCCCAACACCTCCAATTCCAGGCCCAGCCCAGAGCCTGACACAGAGAAGTCATCTGATAAATATTTGGTCAGCTGAGGGATTGACAGACATAAAAGTGGATGGATGATCAGGCTGCTGACCAGCACAAAGAGTCACTGTGACCAGTAAATCAAACTACTGCAAAGTCCACGGTGTAGCACTTGGCACACGAGGCCTGCTGCCCACGGCCAGCCACCAAGTGGGTGCCCTGCTTATCACTCACACAAAGCTTTCGAGTACAGCCCTGCGGTCACAAACTGCAGGGCCCCTCAGGAAACCTGTTCTGCATGCGTCAGTGGAAAACAGCCTCTAATGGCACTGGATACGACCAGAGCTCCTGTCCACAGGTCCTGGCCCCAGGAACGTGGCTGGGCACTAAGACAGAAACTGTGCACAGAGCCCTTTGTCAGCCCAGGATGGGCCACCTCAAGGTGACTCAGGAGGTCAGCCAGTCTCCAGTGGGCATGGGCTGGTTCCTGCTGTCATGACCAGGTGTACCCTGGTGGCTGCTGAGGCCTAATGGGGGGGCTGCCTTAGAGCTCTCTCCAGAATTTGCCCATCCTTGTCCTCACCCTGGAAGGGCAGCCCTGTACTGGGCCCCTGCAGCCACAGGGAGGGGACCCCAGGCCAGCGGCTTCTTGGGGAGATGAGGTCACCCGAAAGGAGGACTGTACTTTCGAATTATTTATGCACAGTCAGTGCAAAGTGGAGCTTTGGTGACAAAGAACCAGGGCATTGCTACTGGGCAGGTTCCAATCCTGCTCTGCCTCTCCTGGTGGGGGCCTGTCCTTCTGCCACCCACCTCACCTCCACCCCGAGGCCCAGCCCTTGTCTGCAATGTGGGGCTACGCATCTGGGCTCACTTGTTTATGCGCATTTGCCTAAACAAGCAAATAAAAATCCCTCAGTGCTTATAACTCAGCTCCCCTGGGGGCCTTGGTGACTGGAGGCTTGGCAGTTGCAGAACTGCCCTCGGAGACCTCTCTTGCAGAAGCAGCCTGGCCAGAGGGATGGCCAGGGCCGAGGCACCCTTGCTGGGAAAGGAAGGCTGTGAATAACACATTCCGCTACCTGCTAGAACATTCCATCCCATTGTGTTTTTACAAGACAAAAACAACAGCCACCCAAGTACAGAGGGGGTTGGGGGGAAGTGAGTCAGGGTGTGGAGCCAGCTGTGGCTCTGCCCTTGAAGCAGAGCTGCCAGATGTTCTGGGGGCAGGAGGCTGCACCTGGCCAAGAGGACAGGGTCAGCACAGAACTGCCTGGGGTCCTGCAGGGATGGCAGGTGGGCGCCCTCTCCACAGTCGCCCAGCACACAAGGTGCAGGGGTGCCAGGGTCCTCAGGGACAGTCAGTCAGAGGGCTGGGGGCCTTCACTGAGTCACCTGTGCTCTAGAAGCCAGCTGAGACGCACAGGCATCCTTCCCGCCTGCGTCCTAGGCCCGGCCCACAGAGGACACGCATACGTGAGTCCCGTCTTCTGGAGGCCCCGACACGGCTCCTCCCGGGAGGTACCTCCATTCTCACCAAGGTGCCATCTGTCTCTGGTCCCTTCCACTCTGGCAGGCAGAGTGGGTTCCGTGGCCCTCCTGGAGACGCTGACCAGGCCGCCCAGGTGAGGGACAGGAACCTGGACTCATGGTGCAAAGTTTTGTGCCATCAAAGACAGAGCTGGTGCGGAAGGCAGAGGGGCCCAAGGGGCAGGGCTCGCCACGGACCCTCCTGTTGGCTGAGATGTGCACTGCCCACCAACTCCCTGGAGAAGGCCCGCAGAGCCACAACGGGGAAGGCTGCTGGCCTGGGGTCCCCTCAGGAAAGAGGCGAATTCAGCTGACACCATGCCCGTGGCAGTAGTTGGACCTTACATCCCAAGTCAAGGAGGGAAGCTCTGGGTGCTGGGGGAGCAGGCCAGGGTTATCCAGGGCCGAAGGAGCTCCCATGTGCTCAGCTCAGCATCACTGCTTGGCCCTGTTGGCAGCCACCCCCAGGCCCTGGCTGCTCCCCCTCACACCACGACCCTGCACCAGGCCTGTCCTGGGGAGCCCCTCTCCCAGAGGCTCACCCTCGCCTTGTGCCTCCCCCACACCCAGGGTCAGTGGCCATTCCTGCAGCTTCTCTGTGCAGCCTCTGAAGCTTGTCACTGTGCTGGAGACAACTGTCCAAAGCGGCCCATGGGACCCCAGTGAGGCCACTGCATCTAGCAGGTTGACTGCATTTCTGGCCTCTGTGGAAGTAGGGAGGCTGAAGGACGAGGGTGACCAGGTGTGAGAGGTGGTCCTTAGGCCAGTCCTCTGGCCGCTGGATGAGAGGCACTTCTTGACTCTGCAAAAGGAAAGGCCCTGCCTCATGGCGCCTCCGGCTCTTGCCAGTCCTACTCTGGGCCTGCAGCTGATGGCTTTCCTCCTAGAGAGTGGAGAGGGCCAGGAGGCTAGAGCTGGCCTTGGGACAGGCCGTCCTGACACCGGGTTCTCCTCTGTTCTCTCCCTGGAGCCAAGACTTTCCTTCTCCATCTCAGCAGTCACGCGAGTCAGTCCAGTCTGCGTAACAAAGAGCCCCAAACTGGGGCTTAAACAAGGGAAGGAAGGAATCCTCTCAGGTTCTGGAGGCTGGAAGTCCAAATCAAGGAGCTGGCCGGGCTGTCCCTCCTGGGGCCTCTCTCCACGGCTTGCAGATGGGGTCCCCTTGTCCTCCCAGGGTCAGCCTCTGCGTGCGTCTGTATCCTGGTCTCTTCTGAGGACACCAGTCAGTTGGACCAGGGCCACGGATGACCTCACCTTAGTCACCTCTGTAAAGACCCTGTCTCCAAATACACTCAAATTCAGAGGGACAGGTGTCGGGGCTCCAGCGCCTCTGGGGGACTCAGCCCATAACCCTCCTCTTCACTCAGACACATCTGAGGGGAGCATGAGGAGTCTGCTGCCTAAGTCACGCACTCAGAAAAGACCAGAGACCACAGAAGGCTGACCGCTCTCAACCTTCCTGATCAGGTCCCAGCCTGGGCCTCCTGCCTCTGTGGCCCCTCGTTCCCCACGTCTCTGTTCTGGGCTGGACTGGTCCACTTTCTTCCCTTCAATCTCAGAACTGGGCTCCACATGGGACATTCTCCAGAGCAACGAGGCATTGGTTTACTTCTCAGAAGTGGGTTCTTGATCCTGTCCCCACTACCAGTGACTGGGCTGGCCCCAAGAGTCTGAAGGGCTCCGTGGGGAACAGGGAGGAAGAGCCCCAGGCGTGCCCAGTACATTCTTTCCACACCAAGGGGGTTTAACTTGGCTTAGCGTTAACTGTTCTTCCCGACACAAGTGGCAACGGCACTCGTGGAGTTGTGACCAACACGTCCTCAGCGTGTCTGACTGTCCCCATGACTGTCCCAGCTTACACCGAAACAGGAGCAGCCCCTCGTGCCCCTGGTATGGACCCTGCCAATCCTGCTTTCTCGGCTGCTGCCCTGTGGCCCTGAAAGGTGGCAGAAGCCAGAGGCAGCTTATAAAAGTGGGATTTATCTTACACTGAAAATCCGGTGGTCCCAGTGCCAGAGAAGGAGGGGCTTCCCTGACCACGAGAACTGGCCGGTGCCTCCTGGGAGGCCTTCTGGGGCTGTGGCTGGCCCTGTGCACCTGCGTCCTCCCTTGTCCTCGGGGTGGAAGGAAGAAAAGCAAGTGACGGAAGGGAGAGAAAGTCTCGGGCAGGTGGGAACCTGGTTCTCCCTTCCTAAAGGCCGGCCAGCAACACGCAGCACCAAGCTGCTTCTTGCAGTTGTATGGCGAGGGGGGGTGGGGGATGGTTATTTTTAAACCAGTGACTAACGTCTTCATTGTTAGTGTTTTATGAAAAACAGTTTCATGCAAAGTGTACTAAAGGGCACACTGCTGGGTCCAATGTGAAGCTGGCTGCTTCGGGCCCTCAGTGCTGAGCCTGTCACTCCTGGCCGGAGTCCACGCTGCTGCGATGCCCCCCCGCCGCCTGGCTTGGTCTCTGGCTGCTGCAGCCCACGCCGCGCGCTGAGATACCCCCTCCCACACGGGAGCAGAAGCAGCAGGGCAAGTCCAAGGAGGGCCACACCCAAAGCCCCCCGCACGCTGCCAACCGGCCGCCCAGGCTCCCGGCCACACACGGTCCCAAAGCCACACTCACCATCTCCCTTCTGCCTTCATCCTTCTCCTGTAGCTTCAGATGTGCTGACACCTGTGGGGACAAGGACCGTGCTGTGGGTGGCCAGCACCAGGGCGAGCCACACAGGGCCACGTCTCTGGGCCACCTGATGGCCACAGGAGATCCCGGAGGCCCCGGCTTCCACGTCCCTTAGCTTTGGCAGGGGAGCAGAGGGAGTCTGGGGGCTCTGGTGTCCCAGGTAGATTCCCTGCGGTACCCGTGAGAAAGCTGGGTGTGGGCGACAGAGAAGGGAACCCAGGCAGCAGGCCTGAAGATGGGCTGCAGGGACCCGTGGTGGGTTTAGGAATTCCAAGGCACCTTTCATCAGCCAAGGCTTGGAATGATCCATGGGGGAGTCACACCCCAGGAATTGGCACGAGCCACTCAACCGATGCCCCTCTGGCTGTTGTGCACTTAGATCCTGTTACCAGCCCAGCACAGGGCCCTCGGCCACCGGATGAAGTCCTGTGCGGGAACTGCCATGCCCAGCGTCAGCCACCCCCCGTCTGGGGCAAACTGGGGGCCTGGTCTCCTCCAGGGCACAATGGTGAGGGACAGCCTGCCCACCTCATTAGCTGGCAAAGTCCCTGAAGGGGCCAAACAAACGAGAGACTGAGAGACAGGAGAGGCCACAGCCCAGAGAGGGACAGGGCCAGGCCTATGTCACCTCACAGGGCCAGCTGCCTGCCTTGTGACACCAAGTGTCACTTCTGTCTGCTGGTGGTTGTGAGGGACAGAAACAGCAGGTTTCTGTCATGTCATCACAGCCATGTCTGAGAGGGGACCGGCAACAGTGGCCAACACGCTCTTGTCCGAGCTGGACCCTGAGTGGGGAGGGCCACAGCCCCGAGTTAGGAGCTCCTCAAAGGGGCACAACACTCCCCAAACAGAAGCTCTCGGAATTTAGCTCTGAAAATACATGTTCTTTCACGGCAGAGCCTGGGGACAAGACTGGGGGGAGACACAGAAGTCACCAGTCGCATCTGCAGAGGGAAGACCCCGTCCTCCTGCCTGCCAGTCCCTCCGCGACACGCTGAGGGCTGGGGGCCTAGGGTCCAGGCAGGATGCAGGGAGGGCTGGGGTGGGTAGAGATGGTATCACCAAAGACTGAGCGAGCAGCAGCTAGGAGGCTCTTCACCCCAGGCTGCGTGTCCTGGTCCCTCTGCAAACTCCTAGGTCCTCTGTGCCCAGGAGCGAGCATGCTGGCCCAGCCGGACATGCAGGGCTCCCCAGCCCAGGCCACGCCCCTTGCCCACAGACACTCAGTGCCGGCAAGACGAATGAGAACAGCCCTGCCGTGTCCCCCGCTTTCCTCCCAAAGCAGCCGGGGAGCAGGGGGGGAATCTGAAATCTTAGCCTGCCCCTCTCTGCTGAGTTAGGAACCCTTTGAAATCACAGGTGACACCGTGGGGCTGCCACTCACTGACGCCCCTGGAGGAGGCTCCGCCCAGGGCCCACCAGAAACCCCTCCAGTGGGGACACCAGAGCAAGCACTGCATCTGCTGGTCAAGAGCCAGGCAGACCCGGCTGAGAACGTCCACTGCGGTGCCTGGAGCGGCTCCACCCTGCTGGGGACCCTAGGCAGGGACAGGAGAAGGCGGGAAACAGCGAGCACAAAGTGAGCGTGATGGACAGCCACAGCTGTGGGCTGCTTTCCAACCTCCTTTCCGTGGGCGGTACTCAGGTGGCATCTGCTGCCCACAGACTAGTGTAGCCGCACTCACTGTGCCTGGGCCTTTGTAAAAAAACGTGCTGAAGATGGGTGCGGTGGCCCATGTCTGTAATCCCAGAGGCTCAGGAGGCTGAGGCTGGAGGATCATAAGTTCAAAGCCAGCCTCAGCAACTTAGGGAGGCCCTAAGCAACTCAGCGGGCCCTGTCTCAAAATGAAAAATAAAAAGGGCTGGGGATGTGGCTCCGTGGTTAAGCACCCCTGGGTTCAACTCCCAGTACCAATAAAAAGAAAAAAAAAAGATCCAAAAAACAGAAACCAACGGCCCTGGGAGCCCAGAGTCCTGGCACGCGGTGAGGTCATGGATGTCCAGAGTACATCCAGGCTCTTGTGGAAACCCACTGCACAGGCACCACCTGCACGGCCCCCATACTGGGCTTGTGGGGGGACTAAGTGAGGACTTAGCAGGCGTGGGAAAAAACTGACTGGGTCCAACGGCCACGAGCAGTGGGGGGGTTGGGGGCCACGCCTGCCTTCCCACACCCCCTCCCCATTCCAGCTCGCCCTGCTAGGTCTGCAGAAACCGAGCCATGCACGGCGGGAGGTCGAGCCCAACCGTGAGAGGAGAGCTTCTGGGGTCAGGTTTGCCTGCAAGAGCCCTGTGCCTCCCCAGCTGGGTGGCCCTGGGCGGCCCTGCTCCACAGCTGGCTTCCTGCAGTCGCACATCTGTGACGGCTAGGGCCACATGCATGCTCAACAGGCACTCAACGATCGCAGGCAGGTGAGACGGAGGGGACCAGGTGAGCTGCAACTTGGGCCAAAGACACAGAGCGGCTGATGGCAGCCAACTCCTCAGCCCACGGGGAGGAGGACTTGTGGTTACCATGGAGACGATCACCCACAGCAGTGATCAATAATCTTAGCAACCTGACCGTGGATTTGCCGAATGTGGGCCATTAAGACTCATGGTGGTGGGGATTTGTTTTCCATCCAACTGTCCACACAGCCAGCCTGGGGCTGGACTCCACTAGAGAGAGGGTGTGACTGCAGGGGCCTGGAAGAGTGTCCACCCACGTGCAGCTGTGCTCCTAATGCAGAGGGGCGGGGGCGGGGGCCTGCAGCACTGGCAGGTGGGCAGCTCACCATCATGGCCTCCTGCACGGTGAGGTGTGGCAGCAGCATGTCATCCTGCATGATGTAACAGGACACCTTCCGGAAGCAGCGCAGGTCACGGGGCATGCCGTTGATGAGGACTGCCCCCTTCATGCCGGTCTCCCTGCAAAGCCAAGGAGAGGGGGCCTTCAGGCTGGAGAGGGGTGAACCAAGGGGGAGGGCCTCCCTCCCAGCCTCTTTCCAGCTGGACACAGAGGCATGGGGGGCAGAGAAGGCACCATGCTAACTGGGAGGGACAATACAGGGAGAAGGCGCCCTGGTGGGAAGAGCCACACGTGAGAGCTCCCTGGGACCCCGCTCTCTGGGACCCCGCATTGTGGCCAGCAGAAGCTGCTGGGTTTGTTTCCCCTGCTCCTGATGCAGAGGGGCGGGGGCTGGGACCCGCAGACTGAATGCAGCCACTAGATGGATGTACTCCTGGGCTTGCAGGGTTAGTGAGACTGGCTTCTGCCATCTGTGTGCAGCACAGGCCACAGCAGCTGCCCTCAGCTAGAGACTGCCGTCAGGGTGGGAAAGACACCCAAGGCGCCTTGGGCTCAGAGGTTCAGCCAGGGGGACGGTCCTTCTGCAGGGGGAGCATTCTCTGCCCACAGGTGAGCTTCCAGAACCTCCATGTGCTCATGTCAGGGGAGAGGGGCCTGGTCTGGGCAGCACCCCGTCGCTCATCACCAGCCTCCTCCTGAGCACGCAGCTGTGCAGCCCTGCCTCCCAGAGCCCCGAGAAGGGGACAGCACGGGGACTGGTGGCACCTCTGCAGTGGCCTGAGGGGGGCCTCCCTCCCTCCAGGCCTTCCCCGTAGCCCGGCCTGAAAGGACAGCCTCCTCGATGCCCAAACCCCCTCGGGTCTTCCAGGAGCTGTGGGGCATGACCAGACAGACAACAGCCAGCCTCGGGACACACTCCACTCTCCACGCCCCTCTCAAGACTCGTGTGGAGGGTTTGGTTCCCAATTTCAGATGTGATTGTAACAGGCAAGAGTTTGTCATAAGTTAGATTTTTTAAGAATCCTAGTTTCTAGTACGAAGGAGTGATTCAGAAGCTCTAAGGAGGAGGTGACATTTGCCATTTGTTTCAGTAAATGAAATAATTATTTCAGGAGTCCTCTGGTCCACGGGTCTGCCTAACCCGCAGGTAGTAATGAACTCTGGATATACCATGTTCACTCCTATACTAGACGTAGTGCTCATGACAGAGTTTAATTGATAAATTAATCAGGGAAAGAGATAAGCAATAGCTAATAAGAAAACAGAACAACTACAACAATATACTGCAGTAAAATTGCCAGCGTGGCCACTCTTGTACTTGGGGGCCATGGTCAAGTGAGATAAGGGTCACTTGACTGCAGCTAATCTGTTAACACAGAGTGACTAATGTGTACTAATGTATACACTGGACCAAGGGATGAGTTTCATCCTGGGTGGGACAAAGTGGGATGGCAGAGACTTCATCAGAAGGGTGTACAATGAAGTTTTTACGAATCGTTTCTTTCCGAAATTTTCCACTTAACATTTTTGGATCCTGGTTGTGTGTAAGGGAAGCTGCAGAATTCAACACCCTGGGAGGAGGATTCCCACTGCTACTACGCGCTGCAGTTACAAACGGAACCTGCAAGAACCAGGACCGGCTCAACAGAGCATTTTAACACTGTAAAGAAAGGTTCGGTTTCCTAGTCATTCACCAATGAATGACATGGGACACAGCACCAGGGACTCTGATCACCAAAGTTGCAAACAACCAACAGAATCACAGCCCAGCCCAACAGGGCCCCGTTCTCTGAAAACACCTGTCTTCCCCCCAGCGTGCACCCCTGTGTGCTCTCTCGTCTTCCTGCTTCCCCCTCCCCAACCTTAGCCTTCTACTTCTTCCTGTCCCAGAAGGGCTGGCCAAGGGGGGCTCCCTGAAGAGCCACCTCATTCACCTGCCCAGCCTCCTGGTCCTCCACTCACCTGCGGCCGTCTGCAGCCCTCGGGGGCCACTGTCTCCCTGCACCGTCCCCTCACAGATCCTGAAGCTCCCCAGGGCATGTGTGACCAGAGCATCGAGGAGCCACCTCTGGACAACGGGACACCCCAGTGATGGGATGCGGAGCAACAAGTACTGGGGACCTGGCTCAGCTGGTGGGGCTCGCTTACCTGTATCCAGCCAGAATGTTCATGAGCGTGGATTTCCCAGCCCCAGAGGGCCCCATGATGGCCACCAACTCTCCACTGTTGAACTTCCCAGAGATGCCTTTCAGAAGGGTCTTGTATCCTGCAAAAAGCAGACTGTGTTCCCTTCTGTCACAGGGCGCCTGGCACGGTGCTCACTGGAGCAGCTAGCCTGACGGCTGAGGCTGGAGGTGAGTTTCTCACACAGGTGTGAAACGCTGTGCCCTGGGCTGCAAAACAGACCTCAGCCATCTCGAGGCCTGGCCTGCCTTCCTGACTGCGATCCACAGGTTATAATCGTGGTAACAGCCACCAGCACCGCAGAATGCTTCAGGGTTTACAGAGCACTTCCCCCTCCCTCATCCAGCCGCTGAGGTCCACCACGCCCCCTCAGAGCCAGGAGTCCCAGGCCCCCCAGCGCGGCACCAAGCCCACTCGCTCCTGCCCCACAGAGGTCCCACATGCCGGTGTTCATTAAACAATCCACTCAGCATTTCATTTACAAACCATTCATATTTTATAAAAGTATGAATTATTTAGATACAACTTACTTATAAATAGTTGCTTTATAATCAATCAATACATTATTAATCCCTGAATTAATAATTAAAAGAGCATCCCATTGTGCAACCACTCCCAGTGCTTTGGCATCTCTGCCAAATCTCCCACCCAGGAGCTTCCTAAGGGATAAACCTACGTGTCCCAAGAAAAGCCACACAAGCTATTCCTCAGGGAGGTGCTGAATGTGCTTCGGAGGGTCAAACAGAGCTGGGATTCACGGGTAGACGCCCCACCAGGACACAGTCTCACTGCAGCACTGGATGGGATGCACCTTGCAGGGCCAGGGCTCCTGGCCACGAGTTTCCAGCTCCCACAGGCACCGTGAAGGGGCTCGTGAGGCGGACGGGCTGGGGACTTGCTGTCCATCAGCAGACTCCCGATGCACTGCCAGAGCCCCACCAGCGTTGCTCCCTGCTGCCCTCCTGCCTTGCACAGCTGGACACTAACCATTCCAGCTGTCGCCAGGTGCCACCTTAATTTGGACAGGGAGTCCCTGAGGCCTTGTTTAGTGAGGCACAGAGAAGCGGAAGTGAGAGTCGGTTGTGGCACTGCCACTCTGGCTCATTAAGGAGAGGAGGGCAGCCATGGCCCCAGGAGACCAGGGAGCCTCCCAGCAGGAAGGGCCCAGGGGCAAAGGGAGGGGCAGAGGGGAACTGGAGCTGCACAGGGACCACCCTCTACGAGGACAGGCCAGCTACACCAGCACTTGGGAGTGAGGGGGATGAATGGGGGGCAGCTCAGCTGCCCCTGCCCTCAGTGGAGGGCCACAGAGGCACTGGTGATGGCAGAGACCCTCCCTGCACAAGGCCATGTCGGCAGACGGAGCGCTGAGAGAGTTGTGCTCCCAGGGGACCCGCGTGACATCATCAAGGGAGCACTAAATACCACGCAATGCCATCTCCTGCCTCTCAGTCTGGGGTTGAGGTTACTCCCGGGCAAACCTTTCTGAGGCTCTCTCCTCTTGAAGCTGGGCAGTCCCCAGCTGGGCCCTGCAGGCCAGCAGCAGCCTGAGCATGGAGAAGGTCACTGAGACAACTTCCGCTACTCGGAGCCTCCAGCATGTAGCAGGGTCACTGAGAAGACCTCCAGCCACACAGAGCCCAAGGGCAATCTGCACGTGGCCATGCACCCATGTGGGCAGCCTTGTGCCTCAGGCCTGTCCCCCAGCCAGCAGGCAGGGTCCATCTGTCCACTTGGGCACAGCCTCAGGGCCCTCTGCTTTAGCAGTGCCCAGGGCTGGCCTTCAGCCTGGGCTCCATGCTGGGGCACCAGATGACATTACTGGTTGGAGGAAGCTCTCACAGGCTGTGATGTCCACAGCCAGAGCCCAGGGGCAGGATGGGGCAGGGAGATGGGGAGCATCCAGCCTGATCACGGGAAAGGCAGCCAGGGGCACAGACAGGGGCCTCGCCATTGAGAGCCACCCAACTGGAGTTCCAGGCCTGAACGCAGTGAACCGAGGACCTCGACACAATCTGCTGGCAGCTCTCCCTCGGGGCGGGGGGGGGGGGTTGTGGTTCCAGGGTAAAGGGCTGCCGGTCACTGCGGGGCACAGGTGCTCTCTATGGAACTGCATGGGGTCCAACCTGGGAGAGGAGCCCCTGGGGCCTGCAGGCATCTGAAGGTAGAACTCCGCTCTTTCTCTCTATCCTCTCCTCTCCCTTTTCTTTCTCTTTCCCTCCCTCCCTTTGTTCCTCTCTCTCCATTTCTTCTTTCTCTCCCTCCCTCCCTCTCTCTCGTCCTCTTCCCAATCTCTTCTCTCTTCCTCTGTTCTCTGAGAAGCATCTTTGGGGACACACACATTGCTAAGCCGTGGCAGCGGGCTGCACATGTGCCCCATGCTGTAACACTGGGCACTGAGACAGGGTTTCCTTAGTTGCGCCTTGGGTATGAGCTACGTTTATGTCATCAGCAATCGGGAGAGCTGTCCAGACCCGGGTCTCAATGACCCTGAGAAACAGAAGAGCACGATGCGGAAGGTGGAGGGGGCTGCTTCTCCTAGAGCCTGGCCGGCCTCAGGGAGGCCCGGTCGGAGCCCAGGCACCTGACCACGGCTCCAACACACTGGATCTGCCTCCCAGCTCTGTCACTGTCCCTCGGGTGCTGAGAATGCCAGACCCGTGTGGATGTGACCAGACTGATTCTTCATCACAGGTCCTGAGCTGGAGTCCTGCCTGGCACATATGGCTGTTAAATAGGTGTCTGTGGAGCTCCCAAGCAGAAGGTGGGCCCTTGGCACAGTGAGCCCAGAGTGACAGCCACCGATGGAAGCCTCGCCCCTTTCCTCCTAGCCAGACAGTCCCTTCAGGAGGTGAGGCAGCAAGACAGGCCTGGGGCTCTGCAGGTCCAGCTGCCTGCCCAGGACAGTCATGAAGGAGGGGCCTCCTAGAAGCCCTGCAGCCTGTGCTCCAGGGTGGAGCAGATGCCCGGAGCCTCAGGCAGAGCCCAGGGTTGTGGGTTTCCATGCAGAGGAAGGCACTTATTTTCCCCCAAAGAGAACTGTTTCCTCCCTTGGAAATGGAGCCCACACTCCTTGGCCCACACAACAAACAAACAAGGATCACAGAGCGCTTCCTTTTCAGATGGACAACTGCCCCCTGCCCCACCCCCAGCCTTGAGCCTCAGCAACAGGATGAGTTGGTTCCAGGCCGGGGGGATTTCAGGAAGCCTGGGGAAGCGGAAGGCACCCCTGCTTCCATTTCCTACGGACAAAGGAAACCTGTCGACACCTACAAAGATTCGGGGCACACAGCCTTATAACTCAGGGTGGGGTCCCCCTTTTTGTAGAAATGTGGCCTGCAAGGTGTTACTGAGCTCCCTCACTCAGGGCTGGGTGGTAGCAGCTCATCATTCTGTTTATGCCTCACAGAAAGCAGAGAACTATGCTGTCCATATACTGCAAACAAGATTCAAGGGCTCAGAGAGGGTTAATGAATGTCCTGGGCCACACGGCAGGTCAGCAGAGCAGCCAAGATTCCAGCCACTTCAGCCAACCCCTGGGGGTCTTCACATCAGGGCCATGAGGGCTTTGGCCAGCCTCTGCAGGGCAGTTTTGGTCCCAGCAGCCACCTCCCCGCTCCTGGGAGCAGGCTTGTTTCCACTGGGTAACCACGCAGGACTGTGCGCCTAGCCTGCCCTTGCCACATGATTAACAGAGGACAGGAAGAAGTGCCTTTCTGCAGAAGGAAGAACCACTGGGTGTGGGCAGGGCGCTTGCAGAGCTGAGGAGGGCACATTGTGAAATTCAGAGGCCAGAACCCCCAGGGCCCAGGGCTCTCTGCTTGCACCAGGGACCTCATGCTCCGACCTTTCTCCATCCACAACACCCTTGGGTAAAACCAGAACTCCTGCCAGGTGTGGTGGGCTCATGTCCGACCTTTCTCCATCCACAACACCCTTGGGTAAAACCAGAACTCCTGCCAGGTGTGGTGGGCTCATGTCCGACCTTTCTCCATCCACAACACCCTTGGGTAAAACCAGAACTCCTGCCAGGTGTGGTGGGCTCATGTCTGACCTTTCTCCATCCACAACACCCTTGGGTAAAACCAGAACTCCTGCCAGGGTGTGGGTGGGTCTCGCACCCCTTGGGGGACTGGGCCCTGTTGATGTGAAGGGCCAACGCTTGCAGGAGCAACTCATGATAAAACTGATCCTGGGCCACAGGCCACCGGCAACAAGGACAGCTCACCGGCAGCCTGGGTGGAAAACTGGGGCGCTGTCGAGCCCCCTGGGAGCCATTAGGCCCCGATCCTGACTACCTGCAGAAATAATAAGCAAGTGACTCCCCCACTTAGGTTGACTCTAACAAGCTGCAGCCGGGGACAGCTGCGGTTTCTAGAGCACCCCGGGTGATCAGCTTGGACTCTGTTTCCCAGTCACCAACAGAAGTGGCGTCTCCCGTGCCTGGGGCTAGGTGAAGTGGGTGCCCTCAGAGAAGCAGGCCATTGTTCTGTGATTGTGCAAACGTCAAATGCCACACTGACCTCTCCAGGAATTAAGTGTGCCATAAACAAACCAGATAAACAACGGACAGTCACCCCTGTTCAGAGCTCTGCCGGCCCAGGGGCTTCACCAACACGTCTCCACATGCACCGGCAGCCAGCAGAGGTGGCCAGGACACGTGGCCGGGACAGGTGGAATTCCCCCTCCAGCCTCATGGCAAGGGGTACATCCCTGCACAAATAAGGCACCCTGCACATGCAGAGAAGCTCAGGCTTTTGGTAGAGGGAGAGGGAGGGGGAGGGGGAGGGAGAGGAGGAGGGGGAGAGGGAGAGGGAGAGGGAGAGAGAAAGAGCGAGTGTGTGTGCGTGAAAAGAGCGAGAGCACTGCAGAGCTGCCCTCGTGGTCTAATGCACCTGCCGCCCCGGGCACCCGGTGGCCAGTGCATCTGAGGTGGACTCTTAAGTCCTGGCCTGTCGTTTCTCAACGGGGGACATTCTCTCCCATGGGTGATGATCAGGCAGCCTGCCCTGGCCCTGCTCCCATCACTCCACATCCCTGAAGCCATTTCCAACTTCAAAATCAAACCCCGCCAGCCCACCT